CTCTACCATTTTTTATCACTAGTTTTATACAGCAAAAAGAAGGTTAATAAGTTTAGTCTTTGCTCTCTGCATTTAGATTTAATAGTTGCAATATACCAGTAGTAGGATAAAAGCTTAAATTGATAAATAATTCTTTTTGGAAGTGCTCAGGGTTTCCTCCTAGCTCTGTGCTCAGAAATCATTCCTTGATGGTACTCGGGGGACTGAATGTGGTGCTGGGGAATGAACAAAGTCTGCCATGTGCAGGGAAAGTGTCTTAATTGCTGCATTCTTTAGTCCAAGTTTCAGTCTTAAGTATCTTGAGGTGATAGAATGTGGAGAATTTGAAAGGAGAGCTAGAAATGACTCCAACAGGGGCTGGAGTGATAGCACAGCAGGTAGGGCATTTGCCTTGCACGCGGCCGACCCAGATTTGATACCCAGCATCCCATATGGTCCCCCAAGCACCACCAGGAGTAATTCCTGAGTGCATAAGCCAGGAGTAACCTCTGTGCATCGCTGGGTGTGACTCAAAAAGAAAAAAAAAAAGAAAGAAAAGAAATGACTCCAGCAATGATACTGCCTTACAGTCCAGTTTCCTTGAACTTGACTTATTGCAAAGTAAGCCATTTCCTTTAAAGGATTTTGAACTACAGAATTTACTAATTTTTAAATACAAAAGATAGAGACTGTTCAAGAACTTTATTTGAGTTTCTGAAAATTAAATTAGTCGAAACTAGATTTTCACATAGTTTTTAAGAATGATCAATTACAACCACTTCTGACACCTTATTGCAACCTTTTCTGGAACAACCACTGTGTTGAGATCACTGATATTTGCACATTCATAAAAATCATCTTGCTATATGGATCATGCAGGAGTAAACAGAAGAAGTCTTGTGAGGGTGCATATAAATTATTGCATCTCACCTCCAACTGAATTGTCTTCATAAATGCCTTTATTGTTTTGTTTGGAATAACTTCCTTGGGTGTAAGCCAAATTCAGATTGAACTTTAAAAATACATTCCATGCTAATCAGTGGCTGAATAAATAGCAGTACTCCTACATTAAAAAAAATACATTCCATGACTATGTGATAATCATTAAGTGTCAATTGGTGATTAAACCTGAGATTATTGAGAAACACCTATGGTTGTGACAGGTTTTATATGTGATTACAAGGTGATTTCTTTCACGGAAAGTTATTAACTAGTTCTATTATTTCCTTCCTTACCGAAGGTTAAAGACCAAATGAGTCCATTAGTAAATTATTAAGGTTTAAATGGGTAGATGTGGTTTTCTGTGGACTTTTTTGTTTGCATCATTGTTTGAAAATTTTGAGATGCTTTTTGATGGCAAATAGGACATGCTAGTTTCACCTTTTCAAGCTAACTGACCCATGTGTGTGAAAGTTCCAGCCAGAAGTGCAAATGAAGAGCCTTTCCTCACAGACCAGGAGTCAAATGTCTGTTCAAAGGGAAGAACTACCTCCTGGAGAGTTTACTCCCGAGGGACCTGCTTGCTCCGGCTGGCAACATACCAGTTTCAGGTCTGAGTTTGCTTTGGGGGTGTAGGGTGTTTTCGTTTCCATGTCAGTGAGTAAAGACACCCCAGGGCAACAGTCTTGTCGGTGTGCAGAGATGAAAGTCCACTGTGGTGTCAGCAGCCTGCCCGCTGTTTGGCTCTGCTAAACCCTTCGTATACCTTCCCCACACAAACCCAAACACAGACCTAAAACTGCTGTGAGCAAAACTCATTTGCTTTTATTCGGTGCTTCACTCGTGACCCCGTACCTTTTCTGTGTCCGTTTCAAAACATTGTTCTTATTCATAACCCTCCCTGAAAGCGTTCTGTGTATGCCTGTTACGTAGAAACCAGGTGCTGCAATAAAAGAATGTTCCAGTTCCTGCACATAAATCATATAAGTAACGAATGACTCAGCTTCTCCAGTGTTAGTTCCTTATTGAAGAAATAAAGAGGGAGAGAGTATGATTCTTCTTTTTCTTTCCTTAATTATTTTTTTTTAGTTTGGGGGGCCCACACCCCATGGTACTCAGCGCTTTACTCCTCGCTCTGTGCTCAGGAGTCACTCCTGGCGGAACTCAGAGGACCATGTGGCATGCTAGGGATTGCAAGGCGAGTGCCTGACCCGCTGTCTTCAGGCTCCGGCCAGGAAGTGAGATTTTTCTCAAGGTTATACAGATAAACTACATTAGACCGCATGGAGCCGGACACTGCACACACCTAGGCTCGGACGCATGGGGTTGGATAGTGCTAAGAAATGGTAGCTCTCCTGGGAGGAAGAAGGGCTGGTTGTAAAACAGAAAACCATAGGGGACCAGATGCAGTTGAAGGGGACTGAACCGGGGTCAGCTGTGCCTGAGGCAGGCACCCTGACCCTGAGCTATCTCTCTGCTTCCCATACTGCCAGGGAGCTACTCACTCCTGCTTATGTCGTGTTCAGCCCACTGTGTATGTCAGTTGGTCTTGCAGGAAGATTGGACGACCTCACTCATCCAGGGTGTAGAGAGAAACAAAATAATGAACAATATCTAAGGAGGACAAACTCGCCCTGTAAGGGGGTGGACTAGAAGTGACACGGGATCAGTGGTTGAGGGTTTAAAGCATGTTGGTGGGGGTGAAGGTCAGTCCCATTGTTCATCAGAATCATGCAAGCTGACACTACTACTGGAATCATTTTCCTAAACAACAATTATGTATGTATGTGTGCACGTGTGCACGTGTGTACATACATATATATGTGTGCATGTGTGTGTGTATATGTGTGTGTAAATTATTGATCTCACAGACTCGTACTGTTATTAACTTACAGTATTGTGTCTAAGTCTCTGAAAGGAAACCTGAATTATCCCATAAGAGGAGGAATGTCAAGTGCTCAGAAGTATTTAGTATATAAAAAATGCACAGTGGGGGCTGGAGTGATAGCACAGCGGGTAGGGCATTTGCCTTGCATGTGGCCAGCTCGGGTTCAATTCCCAGCATCCCTTAGAGTCCCCTGAGCACTGCCAGGAGTAATTCCTGAGTGCATGAGCCAGGCATAACCACTATGCATTGCCAGGTGTGACGCAGGCAGGCAGGCAGGAAGGAAGGAAGGAAGGAAGGAAGGAAGGAAGGAAGGAAGGAAGGAAGGAAGGAAGGAAATGCACAGTGAATTTTAACTATAATCATTCTTTGGAGTGATTCAGCTTATGATATTTGGTGTATATTACACACACACACACACACACACTTAGGGAGTTTAGGGTTCCCAGTATTATAAATAAGTCTGTGATGTGTTTTCTTGCAACCAAGCCTTTGTGTACTGCCAGTTCCCTCAGGATTGATTACTCGGCATAAAATAGGAACGTGAAGGGGAAGTATATATTTCAAATCTTTTAATAGGCTGCCAAATCAGTTGGGAAACTCTTAACTCCGTCATCCTTTGTTGTTTAAAATTCACCTTGAGTCATCATCAAAACAATGTATTTAAAATTCTTGGCATTGTTAGATGTCTTAATATGTTATGGGACAGTTGTCTTGTTCATTCATCACACAGAAAGATGTTCAAAATGGATTGCCTAGTTGCTGTGACCCTCCCTTACTAGAATAAAAAAGAGTTTCCTATTAGTGGAATATTTTATTAAGAATTTTCTCATTTTATTAAAATAAGGAAGCAGGACCAGAACTTTTAACAACTGATAGTCAGTGCATTCGTATGACTTAGTTTAGAAAGTTAGTGATCTCTTTTCAAAAGAGAATTTAAAATTCCATGTTGTTTTTAATACTATTTCCCAAAATTTCATTATTAAATATGTGAGGTTTGGGTCCAGAGAGACAGTACAGCAGGTAGGGCACTTGCCTGGCACACGGCCGACCTGGCTTGGATCTCTGGCATCCCATGTGGTCCCCTCATTGACAAGGAGTCATTCCCGTGCTCAAAGCCGGGAGTAAGCCCTAAGCACAGTCAGGTTTGACTTAAAAACAAACAAACAAAAGTAAATATATGAGGTTCAGTTTCCATTGTGGATAGAAGAGAGAGGCAGATATAAAATTTCATTTACACAGGGTAGCTTAGTGCCTAGATAAAGTTTCCCAGTGTTCCTATTATAACTTATCTATCATGTCCTGACACATGTTTTTAGGTGTTGCATTCCAGCTACTCAGGTTGAAAGCCACACTGATTCTTTTAAAGTACACACACACACACACACACACACACACACGTACAAACATACACACACACGCACAAACATACACACACACAGAGTGCAGTCCCTCCACTTTTATTTTCAGAATAAAAAAAATTATTTCAATTTCCTAATAATAAAAATAAGTTTTCGTTGCCTACAGATTATACAGCAGGTCCACTCCAGGGTGTTATTAAAACGTCTGTAGTACAGGGAAAGATAAGGAGAAAAGTGGACTTCACGCAGCGCCCTGCAGCTGAGACGGATCCCTCTAAGACCGCTCATGGTGTCTGCGTCTGAAATGAGCTAATCTGGTGAAAGTTGTTGCAAAAGACACACCACAAAATTCGCTGTTTTCATGTTACATCTTATATCTTAGTGGCCATAAGTTATAAAATCAGTTTGGTTCGTTTGAAATGGTGTGAGTGAGTGTGTGTGTGTGTGTGTGTGTGTGTGTGTGTGTGTGTGTGTTGAGAATCAGGTGCATTTAGATCACTATGCAGCCACTAACACCATCCCTTTCCAGGACCTTTTCATCTTCCACATTAAATTTTGTGCCCACTGAGCAGTTGCACCCCCAGACCCCACTCCCCCTATTTTCCGGGCAACCACAGCGTAATCTTCACTTTTGGTTGTAATGCAACATTCGCACAGCAGAGATCTCATCCCACAAGTAAGTTCTTGGAGGAAGAGAGTATTTTGCATACTAATATCAAGGTTCCTTTTATGGGCAGCTCACCGCGCTGTGAGGGTGCAGGTTTATCTTCTCTTGACTGTCACATAACTGCAGCTGCTCATGTCGAGGGGCCTGGTGACTGCACGGCACTGCAGGCCTGTCCCCAGCATAAAGAAGCCCTGTGCGGTGTGTCACGGGACTGGTTTTGCATACTGCTTGGCCAGGCCTGTGGCACCGCCCTCGGGTGTACCCTGTGCTATATTAGTCCTTCTCAAACAGGAAGAATTTTCTTTTGCTCCAGCAGCTCCTCCGATTACCTTCAGGGTAAGTGTGTGTAGTTCATATCCACAAATGAACTTCTCTTGTTTATCTGCTTCTTAAGTCGCTGTCTCAGGGAAATTTCAGGCCTTTGCAGGAGAGAGACTTAGGAAAGAAAGGTAAAACAGCAGATCCAGGAGAAAATGTAAAACTTCCGTGTCGTTTGCAAAGCTGCGCCTACATCTTTGCACACCTTAGGTATGGAAAATTACATTTTAGAGGATTTAATTTTAAGAGCTTCTTGTTTGACAGCAAGATGTTAAGCAGCAGCAATCCGTCCAATAATCTCTCCCCCCGGGGAAAGAAGCACGCTGAGACCCAATCGTGTTACTCATTTAGTTGCATGTGACTCATTTTCCTGGGAGCCACTTGCTTTTCATGTGCCTGGGTTTGGGAGCAGTGTGTTGTGGTGACTAAGAACAGTCATGAACTTTTATTTTATGTCTGTGAGTTCTGTGCAGGGTATCATAGAATGAAATTATGCTGGGTATCTTAGGAATTGGTAAAAGCTGGATTTCTGTCCCAAAGGCTTATAGTAAAGAACGTATTAAAAACTAAGACTCAAACTTATTTGTATAGAAATCTAAAGTGTTATGGCTAAGTTATGTTGATATAATTGAATGTATTTTTACTGGATTTCTTAGACCGGAAGTACGAGTAGATAATGCAGTAGACGCTAAGCTGTCCCCTGGGTTTTCGCTGGCATTGTAGACCTAGCCTGGCATCTTTGGCTGTTCCTCACTTCCTCTGCTGTTGTAGGACGCATTCAAGGACAGAGGGACTCCGAGTGCCTTGGTCTGTTACTTAATTTTCATGTGCCTAAGTTGACTCATCTTGACAAATGCTATTAGCTATTAGGGTTGGGGGGGATAGGTGAATAAATTTTAAGTCTTGAGATTGTGTATGTTTCTAAGTATTCAAATAAGGTTTTTAGGAAAATGTAAAAATGATGATAGAGGAGCCAAGTTTTACAGTTTAAGGAATTTCATATAAAGTCACAAACCTTTGAAATCTATTTGTCTTCTCTCTCTGCCTCTTTTACTTCCTCTCCCACCTTTTGCGGTTTAGTTTCATTTCAGATCTCTAGTGAGAAAGTTTCACTTCCAGCTGTTTTGCTTTTGCCTGATGATTGAACATCTAATTAGAATTATAGTTGATGAAAATTGATTTCTGATGCTACCAATAGCCAGTTTGTAGTGCTTCCCAAATGTGCCAGTCACTTTAGCCCTTAAGAAGGTAGCATTTTAAAAACAAACAACCCCCTAGGACAGCTGGAGTAGGTCACTGGAAAGCTACAGTGAAGATGAATTCACCTGGGGTGGTTGAGGATGGCTGTCATGTTGGGGATACCCGTCCCTATTATAGCAGTGCATGAAGTAATGTGTGCCCTCCTGACATTATGGTGTTTGCTATTTGCTATTCATATTCTTATTACCTTATTGGTACATAGTTTTGATACCTTTGGAGGTATCAGACGTGAACCAGAATCACAACTTTTGGAGCCTAGTAATGAATTTATTTTCCCATAAGAGAGTCAAGAAGACTTTTTAAAAAAGAACTCGATTTGCATTCAGGTATTTTTAAAACTTGGGTAAAGGCAATTGACGCTTTCCTCGAAATGTTCGATCCTTGATTTGTAAACTTTATTTTTGAAGTTCATCATCCCGCGATGAAATACTATGAAAGCAAATATTTTCAGTCCTCAGATTTGTTCTCATTAAGTGGGTTCTTGCCTTGCTTCAGCTTTCAGCCTCAATGGAAAACTTTGCCCTCTCCCAAAAGTACACAAAGTAATTATTTTTCCAGTTTCCAAATGTCTCAGTCCCCATTTGAAGATTGTGAGATTTAAACGTGCTTTTGAAGAAAGTTCATAGTGCAAGGGTGATTTTTTTTCTGGATTTGTCCCTATCTTCTTCACTGGCTGTTTTTTCCAAAACACATATATGCTTTCCCTTGAAGCATCCGTAGCAGATGACTGCTGGCAACATACAGAGAACTTTATATATCCAGTATAGGTTTACAGGCTTATTTGTTTAAAAATACTCTGCCCTGGTTTTCTGTAGGATAGTGCCAGAACGCTGACATTTATGCCTGAGTCGTCACACTGTCACAGTGATAGAGAGAGACCTGTGGCTGGTTTTGTGTTAAAATTGCAGTCCCCCCCTGTGAGATTATGCATGTATATTAATATATAGATTTTAGATTATGAGAGAGTCTTTGTTTTTACGGCATACATTTTAATTATAGACAACACATATTCTGCCCAGCTTCTTTCTACACAGAGGTCTTCAGGAAAGTCAGATTAATTGCATATTTATTATACAGCTTTACTTAAATAAAATACAACACATTGACAAGCTAAAATAAGTAACCCCCATATGTACTACTACATATATTATATACGTATATATATAACTTAAAATGTTTTTTTTTAACTGCTGCTTTCGGTTTAAACAAATAGATAACATGTTAATTTCAGTCAGCACCGTAAAATGGTCATTCACTTACCAGCACTGCGACATCATTGTTATTTGGCAGGCACTTTGCTAGGTCTAGTACAACTCAGATCTTAGTCACAAAATTTTTAATGTTTAAATGCCACAAAATCAAATATTTAATTTTGTAAAATTAAGCATTTTAATATGAAAAGTTGAATACATTTGACTTAATGTATTTCTGGTATATTGTATTTCTGTATATATTATTTCTTCTATATATTATTATTTCTTCATGAATTTAGTAGTAATAATCATTTGCCTATGAAGAAACTCATTCTTACATGTAAAGAAAATGTTGGAAAAATGTTTTCTCAGTGCAAGCAGTTTCTTGCAAATATATACAGCATTTTTAATTCCTTATTCACATATTAAGAAAAGTTTTAAATTCTTAAAGAACTACAGGCTATTTCACCAAAAATTTTAACTCCATACTTTGTGAGAGAGAGCAGGACCATTACTGAGCTTCACAGGCAAAAGAAAGATGCCTTTAGTAGTTTACCATTTATTTATTTATTTCTGGGTTTTGAGCCATGCACAGGAGTTACTCCTGGCTCTGCACTCAGGAATTACTCCTGGTGGTGCTCGGGGGACCATGTGGGATGCCAGGGATTGAACCTGGGTCGGCCACGTGCAAGGCAAGCACCCTATCCGCTGTACTGTTGCTCTGTCCCCCTACCTTAGCATTTAAATCAAACCCAAATACCACCTTATTCTGTCATTAACAACAGGAAGAGCCTTAAGTGTATGTATGTCACGTGTACCTTTTTTCTCTCTCTTTTACTGTGACATCACCTGGGAAAATCCAGAAGATTGGATAACCAAGAAATGCCTACTCAAGATTCTGCTGTACTTGCAAATATGGTGGGTATTCGAACATTTCCAGTTCAGTGTATTAAATGGTGACTCATCACCACTTTTACCTGTCTCTAACCAGTTGATTAATTATGGAACTTAAGCTTATGTAGATTTTTCTTCATACCAGTAGAACATCAAATATTTGTTGAATAGAATCCCAACTTACCTTAGAAAACTATTTTCTTAGCGTATCATATGCCTCGAAGCACTTTTCAGGATGTAAGATTGTTATTCCATTGCTTCTCCCCACCCGGCACCCATGTGCTAGATTTTCCTTCCTCGGCACAATACACGTCGTAATTTATTTTAGGTTTCTAAATTAAAATGACAAGTGTTTACATTTTTTTTAATGTCCTCCATAACCATATAGTTATTGCATTCTGGGATGAGTTAGGAAAAACACGAGATTTGGGGGAAGAACTGGGTTTTACATCTGACTTCTTTTTTGCTGTTGTTTGTTTTGGGACACACTCAGCTGTGCTCAGGACTTACTCCTTGGTTTTGTGCTCGGGGATCAGTCCTGGTGGACTTGAGGAGCCCTGTGTGGTGCCAGGGCTTAAACCCAGGTCAGCCTTATGGAATGCAAACACCCTACCCACTGTATTATCTGTCTGGCCCTTAATTCTTAACAAGCTGTGATATTCTTGCTCAAGAGACTCATCAAATCTTTAAGAAATAAGTATGGGCCAGAGAAATTGTGCATGCCAGAAATTGCCTGGCATGCAGCTGACCCCAGAGGATCCCTGGGGTCTGTCTAGTCGTCTGAGCACAGGGCCTGGAACACTCCTGCTGGGATTGACCCTTACGTCCCATGCAGAGTAGCCCCAGACTGTTGTCAGGCATAGCGCAAAAATGAAAACAAAGCAAATAGAAAAAAAAAAATATGATACTACCACCTTTATACTGTACAGGAGTATACTAAACCTGTCATCGTGTTGTACATTGCATCCTCAAATCTTAAAACCGAAATTTTCTTCTTGCTGTTTAAATGAATATATGTGAAGTACCTCATAGCATCTGGTAAGGAAGCACTCACTGAATTTTAATCTCCTGTGCTATGTTAGTGTTGTAACTTGTAAGTAGGGTTCTTTAACTTGTGGGGAAAATTACAGTCATCTTCACAATGATAGAATAATCCCTAAAAATCAGGCTTTTTTTTCTTTTAAAAAGAACTAACCCACCATCTTCTCATTTTTTTTCTTTCTGTTTTTTTTTTTTAATCCTCTTCCTAGCTTTCTTTTTCTTTGTTGTTGTTATTTGTTTGTTTGTTTTATTTGGGGGCCACACCCTGTGGTACTCAGGGCTTACTCCTGGCTCTGTGCTCAGGATCACTCATGGTGGTGTTTGGTGTGACCATATGTGGTGCCAGGGATCGAACCCAGGTTGGCTGCATGCAAGGCGAGCGCCTTACCCACTGTGCTCTTTTTCCAGCTCCTCTTTTTTCTGGTTTAAGCATATGAAACCTAACAATTTTACATCCAGAGGGCTTTGCGAGACAGTGATTCTCTTGCCATCTCTCCTGGCTCGGTGTGTAAGGGCAGGTGGAAGCTAACTCAGAGTGCTGATTAAGTTCACTGAAGTCAGTATTGCTGCGAAGGTGAAGCATCTGAAGTAACTGATTTTATATGTAAAATTTAACCCAGTATTGTCAATGTATATGATTCATCCTAATACTTGACATGATGAGCGTGAAACCATGGGGGTTGCACATGACCTTGACTGTGTAGATCTAAACTAGCACAAGCAGCTCTTGTGTGTGGCCCAGGTCTGAGATCCTGGCCTCGACTGTGATGTCAGTCACATCCCCAGCCATGACAGGGTTTTAATATTTTGGGGGGGATGAGGAGGGGCACTCCCAGATGTTGCTTATGGATTAGGGGGCCTCCAGGTGATTCTCAGCCAGCCCAGTAGGTGGTTCTGGTGATCTAGGTGGTGACCTAGATCTAGATCCGGTGGGTCTAGGGTCTCAGGGAGTGGTGCTGCTTCCACCCTCAGTGCCAGGGATTTACCTCAGCCACCACAGCGGGAGGGTCCCCTGCAGTGCTTCAGGGTCTCTGAGATGCTGGGGATAAGCCGATGGAAGGCCTGCGGCCTCACTGCTGTGTGCTCTCTCTCCTTCCCAGTTTTATTTTTAACCAAAATGGAATATAAGGGATATAGAAATATCCTACCATATAATTGCTATATGGGTCCCAGAACCCTCTAAGTATGTCTCTCAGAGAAGAAAATAGCAAATGCTGCCAACCCGCAAAAGAAGAAAAACAAGCCAAATGATGATTCACTGTTTGATTTTTCTGAAACAATCGAGACATCTTTCAGACAGTCTCTCCCCTCGTCTACTTCCTTCCTCCCTCCAGCTACAAACTGCTGTTTCCCCCCATCTCCCTAGTAGAAGCCATCTCCTCCTCTGATCTTGGCTTGTACCCGGTCATTATTCAGATCCCCGTGTCCTGCCCACATTAGTGTCTGTTCACCTGTGTGCATGATGTGAGCCTCAGTCAGAATATTGTATTTCTTAGAGGTGCTTTACTCTTCCCCTTTTCTTGGTCACTCTGTGATGAATGAATTGAATAAAAACTGTCCTGTCCTGCCATTCTGTGGAACAGGTCAGACAAGAGGTCGGCAGGGAGATTGCATCACCCACACCCACTGTTCCACTGAATCGGTGACGTAAAGCCTGTGTAGGTGCCTCAGTTGTCATATGAAGCTAGAAGTCTTTACCTTGAATGTTCTGAGCCCAGGCAAGTTTCCCTAGGGGCTTCCAGAAGATTCTTTCCCACACAGTTATGGGGGATGAGGGGATCACCTCAACAGTGCTAGGGATGAGTCCCGAGATGGCAACTCTGCAGGTGTGCTGTAGACCCATTGGGCCACATTCCCTGCCCCAGTGGAGATTCTTAAGGAATTTCAATCAATTTTTATGCAGGCTATTTTCAGAAAGAAAAAAAAAAAACGAGAAAACACTGTGATTTACAATACTGTCTACGATAGGGATTCTCGAGTAACTTATTTCAGCATCACACTTCCCTCATCATTTTTCAGTATTCCCCACCCTACCAGCATACACTCCGTCACACACACCTGAGCTCACTACTGAAGACCATTTCTCAGGTTCTGTTTGGACCTTTGTTGCTCTCCGAGTCCTGTGTCTTTATATCCCAGATCCAAGAGAGAGCATTCTGCGTCTGTCCCTCTCTTGACTCACTTCCCTCAGTGTGGTACTCTCTGGTTCATCCATGGAATAGCAGATTGCATGGTTATGTCTTTTCTTACAGCTGAGTGGTACTCGATTGAAAAGAAACCATAATTGCTTTACCCAGTTATTTGGTCTTTGATACTTGGGTTGTTGATAGAGTTTGGTGTTTGTTAATGGTGATACAATAAACATAGAAGTGCAAATGGCTTTTCTGAAGAGAGTTTTTGGGCTCTTGGGGTAGATGCCAAGAAATGGAATTGCTGGGTGCAATGAGAGCTCAATTCCTAGTTTTCTGGGCTGTCCATATCGCTTTCCAGAAAGGCCGGACAAATCAACATTTACTTCCACCAACAGTGAATGAGGGTCCCTTCATCCCTGAATTCATGACAACACTTGTTTTGTTCCTTGTGATGGGTGTTAGTCTTCTGGTGTGCGATGCCTCACTGTTGTTCAGATTTACATTTTCCTAACAATAACAGATGCCTTGTGCCTGAACTGATTATTACTATGTTAATTGACAAAAATTCTGTCATATATTTCTACAATTATGTAACACAAAGGGAAAATTTCCCTAGAGTTGTGTTGGTTTCATGTTGCTGATTTTGGTTTTTGCTCTGTTTTTTCAGATGCTTACTGGTGTTTCAGAATTATTATATTTATATTCCTTTGCTTAACACATGGAATGATTTGAACTGAAGAAACAAAATCAATTATGCTTTCACTTGAAAATTTGGGAATCTTAGTGATGTTGAGGATTTTACCACCAACTTTGATGTTTTATTTTTCGTTAATAAAAACTAAAGGCCACCATTAAAAAAAAATACTGAGAAAAATCCCTAGGGCAAAAGTAAAAATGAATTCAAAAAGTAAAAAAAAATGACGTGAAAAGTTAAAATGAAATTGAAAAATTTATGCCATTGCATATTCACCTAGAATAAAAGTATGAATGATGGTGTCTCTTGTTGAAATATGCATCACGCTTTCAGTACACTGAATTCCACGGTCACTCCACTTATTTTGCGTTTTGTTCTCAGTTGAGGACAAGCGCCTTGTGTAGGTTTATCCTCAGGCACCGCATGGGGCAGCTGAGGAGTGTCCTGAGCTCATGGACAGCGCACCTCTCGCTGGGGCCCACACAGAAGCCTAACAGCATCCCATCAGAAAAAGGATGCATTTGTTTAGTTCTTCATATCTGTCTTTCTCAATGGAAACTTAACACTTTTACTATGATTCATTTGACAGTGTTTCAGGTTTTCGCAATCTCTTTGATAATCCTGGGAATTAGGAATATCAGAGGCTCTGCCTGCACCCCGCAGAAACGTCTCAGTATAACTGTATAACTATGCAGGTTACTATTGAGTAATCCTATCCTGCGATAGGGTTCTGAGGACATAGTTTTGACATCAGCTTCATGGGGTTTTTGGTCGATCGGTCGGTTGGTTGGTTAGTTGGTTGGTTGGTTGGTTGGTTTTGGGGCCACACTCACCAGTGCTCAGAAATTAGTCCTGGGAATGCTCAGGGGACCTCATGTGGTGCTGGGATTCAAACCTGGGTCAAGACGCGTGCATGGCAAGCACCTACCCGCTTTCTGTCGCTCCAGCCCTGATACCAACTTTTTAAGAACTCACTGTTGTTTAAGTTCAGTAGCCTGCAAATATAATACATGAAAGATCAGTCAAAATAAACATATTTTGCTTAGTCATCTTTCTATAGATTCTTACTCCACACCCAAAAGAACGTAATTCTTGTCAGCAAGATTCTGCTCCTTCCCCAACATTTTACACCGTGTACTTATGACTGTGTTTTCTTTTGTTTGCAATGATGGAAAGATTTAACTCCTTATTTATCTTCCATCAAATTGCATCAGAGAGATGGTACAGTGGGTCAGGCTTGCCCTGCAAGGGGCTAGCCCAGCTCAATCCTCAGCACCCCACATGTGGCCCCCAAACAAACAAAAAAATTACATCATAATCAATTGGAAAATCTTTTCGCCTGTTTGTTTCAGGGGCCATGTTCGTTGCTCAGGCTTGCTCCTGGCTCTGCTCAGAGGTCACTCCTGGCAGGCTCCAGGTACCATATGTAGTGCCAAAGGTTGAACCCAGGTCTGCTGCATGCAAAACAAACGCCCTGCCCACTGGACTATCACTCTGAGCCTGGAAAGCCGTAAAATGATTCAAATTCTGTGCTTTTCATATCTGAATTTTTTTTTTTTTGCCTTTTTGGGTCATACCCGACGATGCTCAGGGGTTACTCCTGGCTCTGCACTCAGGAATTAACTCCTGGTGGTGCTCAGGGTACCATGTGGGATGTTGGGAATCAAACCCAGGTTGGTCATGTGCAAGGCAAACGCCCTACCCACTGTACTATCACTCCAGCCCCTCACATCTGAATTATTATTTGGGACAGAGGACACTTCCCTTGGTGCCCAGGGCACCACCTGGAACATGCCTGGCAGAGCTTTTCGGGGGAGGGTACTGTATGATGCTGGGTTCAAATCTAACATTTAAACCTGGCACATTCAGGCATGCTCTGGCGCTTGCTACTCCGCCTGACCCGAGAGGCATCATTTTATGTGCCACCTAGGAGCCACCTCTTTGTCCAGGAGGAACGTGGAGAAAGGGCTCTGAGGAGGCGGCAGCGAGCAGGATGGGCGATGAGATGCGAGATGCACGCTCCTGTCTGCACTTGTGACTGCTTGTGTCACTGGGTCTGAGGTCCTGACCCCACACATGCAAAGCCTCATCTCTTCTGCCAGGCTATGGCCCAGCCCCGGGGGTGCTTTTTAATTGTATCTACTTTTACGTATTTTTATTTTGGAGTTTGGGAGCTACGCCTGGCAGAGCTCGGGGTTTACTCTTGGCTCTGCACTCAGGGATCACTCCCGGTGGGCTCAGGGGACACTACGGGGTGCCAGGGACCAAACCCAGCACAGCCTCCGGTTTCAGGCAGGTCTGATTAGGCAGGTCTGATTTATAATCTTGGCATATCCTGCGCGTGTTCTCTGGAGAGAGAAGCTGCGTGCCGCGTCTGTTTGCAGAGACTCCCCCACTCCTGCCGTTTGGCCCCTCTCCACTAATCAGCCAGACAGGACTGGCCGTGTGCTGTGCTGGGGTGCAGGTGGGAAACCCTTGATTCTGCCCCTGGCATGGTGAAGAAACCAGTCTTGGAGTTGCACTCACCTTGCGTTCAGCCCCGAAAGGTGTTTTGATTTGGGTGGGGGGTGTTCATTCGCCCCTTTGGGTGCCGACTCTGAGCTGCGCCGCTAGCCCAGTTGGTCTTGATGTATTTCTGGCCAGTGTCTGAAACCTGAGGGCTTGGTTTGCTTTAGGCATGACATCTTCCTCCCTGTGGACACACTTGTTTCATGTTTTTGGAAGGAAATATGGTGGATGATGCACTCAATATTTTGCTTTCAAGAACAGGTTAGTTTGTTTTGTTTTTGCACACCCAACAGTATTCAGGGCTTACTCCTGGCTCTGTGCTCAGGGAGCACTCTTGACAGGGTTCGGAGGACCATATGGGATGCCAGAGATCGGACCCGAGTCAGCTGTGTGCAAGGCAAGTGCCCTGCCAACTGTACTCTTTCTCCACTTCTATTTATCTTTTCTTTTCAATATTTTTCCTGTTGTTTCTATATAGTATGCATTATTTTTACGAGTAGAAAAAAAAATCACACTTTCAAGTAATGTGTTAACATACAGGTTTTTTTTTTTTATCTTGCAATTAGAAACAACTGACAGGGTTGCTATTTTTGTGTGGATGACTGGTAATTGAATATAGTGGTTTGTCTTTTAAAAAAATAATGCTGGTTCTGGGCTGGAGCGATAGCACAGCGGGTAGGGCGTTCGCCTTACAAGCGGCCAACATGGCCGACCCGAGTTCGATTCCTCCGCCCCTCTCGGGGAGCCCGGCAAGCTACCGAGAGTATTCGATATGCCAGACACAGTAACAACAAAGTCTCCAATGGAGACGTTACTGGGCCCGCTCGAGCAAATCGACGATCAACGGGAGGGCCTTTACTTTACTTTACTTTACTCTGGGGAGATAGCACTGTCTCCCCCGTTCCCAACCCCCCACCCCCCCCCCCAAAAAAAGGCTCAGCTGTTTGTTCTTAAAGTAATAAAACTTCTGCTTGATCTCAAAGAAATGTGGGCAAAGAGGAATTAAAACTAACTCATTTCCCTTTTTTTTTTTTTTTTTTAGATGCCAGAATTTCAGAGAAATTCAGTTCGCATCAAGAACCCGACAAGAGTGGAAGAAATTCTCTGTGGTCTTATTAAAGGAGGGGCTGCTAAACTTCAGGTGTGTTGAGAAGCGTCGTCATCTAATAAGCCTTTATTTTCAGTGTTCAGCAGATTCACTCATCTTGTGTTCTGGGAAAATGCGGTTGGATGACGTTGGGGTGGATACATGGCCCTCCCTTTGGAATGGAAAGTCTAAGTGATGCAGCTGTAGAGTTGGTCTGAAATAATGAGAATAGCTTTGTGGAAAGTATCGGGGGCCTGGAAGCAAGATTAATTCAGCCAGGTGGCCGCACGTGATGCTGTGCCGTTCCTGTGCCCTGAGCGGGGTCCCGGGACTCTGCGATCTGGCACCACAAGAGCCTTCAAACTTGGTGCACGGCAAGGTGCGTGCAAGTACCTGAGAGATGTGTGAGCACCCTGGCTGGAGCACTGCCCCCTGATGGGCAGCCAATGTAGCAGAAAAGAGCAACAGCCAGAGGCAAGGGGGTGGGGGATTGGGGGGGGAGAGCCTCCTGGCTCATGCACTCAGGAATTACTCCTGGCGGGGCTCAGGGGACCATATGGGATGCTGGGAATTGAATCTGGGTTGGCTGCGTGCAAGGCAAACACCCTACCTGCTGTGCTATTGCTCCAGCCGCACTTTAGATTGTCTTAAGAATGTTGTGAATATTCTTGAAAATGTTGTAGTTTCAAGTTGCTGTTCCATCTTGAAAATAGGATGTGGGACTGGAGCCATAGTATAGCTGGGAGGGTCCTGACCTTGCACACAGCCAACCCAGGCTCTATCCCCAACACCCTATATGGTCCCCAGAGTCCCACCAGGAGTGATCCCTGAGCGCAGAGCCAGGAGAAAGCCCTGAGTGCTGTGGGTGTGACCCAGCAGGAAAAAGAAATAAAATATAAATTCAACAGGTGATAGCTGGTCTTTCAAATCTTCACCTTTTTTTTTTTTTTTTTGGCCACATCCTTCGATGCTGAGGGGTTACTCCTGGCTCTGCATTCAGGAATTATTCCTGGTGGTGCTTGGGGGACCTTGTGGAATGCCAGGGATCAAACCCTGGTTGGCCACGTGTAAAGCTAGTGCCCTACCCACTGTACTATCACTCTGGCCCCTCAAGTCTTCACTTTTAAAGAAATACTTGAAATGAAAATTAGCAGGCTGGACATTCAGTTAAAAATTACTTTTTTAGGGGGGTGGGAGTAGAGGAAACCGGGGGGCCCACAACAGCAATGCTCAGGGCTTACTCCTGTCTCTGCATTCAAAAATTACTCTCGGCAGTGCTCAGGGGACTATATGGGGTGCCAGGGATGAGACCTGTGTTGGCCGTGTGCAAGGCAAATGCCCTACCCACTGTCAGTCATTCTGGCCCCTTTTAAAAGTATTTTAAGCTGTGACCCAACCTCCTAGCTGTCAGGAACTGGCAGCTTGTCACCACGTGTCATTCCCGGTGTAACTTTCTTGGGTAAGTCGAAGCCACATGCTGTGACCGAATGTCAACACCTGCTGTGGTTTCACTGCATCATCTGCATTCTCTTTATTGATCAGCATTATTTTATGTGTCACCTGCAACTGCAGATTCATCTAGTGAGTTCCAGAATTGCCTTTTTTCTGGTAGTGGTTGGTCCATTAGGGCTTTCTGTAGGAACTCCCATGAAGGCGAGAGAGAGACTGACTTCAGTGGCTGGGCTGAGCATCGTCCCAGGCTCCCAGGAAGCGGCAGATCCTTGCTGGGTTCTCACAGATCTCCCCTTTTCTTACAGATAATAACAGACTTTGATATGACACTGAGTAGATTTTCCCACGAAGGGAGAAGATGCCCAACATGTCATAGTAAGTGCATTACTCATGAATAAACGCATAGATACTGCCACCCTTTTCTCTGTGTACTGTCCAAGACTGACTTTTTCTTCCCCTTCCTTTTGCTCATTGAAAGAGAGACTTGCAGGGCTGGAGCGATAGCACAGCGGGTAGGGTGTTTGTCTTGCATGCAGTCGACCCAGGTTCAATTCCCAACATCCTATATGGTCCCCCGAGCACTGCCAGGACTAACCCCTGTGCATTGCCGGATGTGACCCAAGAAGCAAACAAAAAAGAAAAAAAGAAAGTGAGACTTGCTTTTTATCTTTTATTTTGGGAAATTTGCTTTTTCCCATGATAACAGCAGCATTGGTCAAATACTCTCCTTTCTCAACATGTTGTTCTGTGTTTATATTGTTAATATATGAATTAAGTAGGAGAATAAGTTATTTCATACATCTCAAAATGTGTGGCTAAGATAATTATACTTTTCTTGTTTTTCACTGACTTTTGGTACGTAATTTGAGAAAGTATTTTGGTAATTTGTACAAAAATTGCCTGAAAATCTTATCCATTGGTCCCATGATTCCTGTTTGAAGACTTTTTTAATCAACTAATCTTCACATTAGGAACAAAAATGTTTTTATTCACAAAAATAGCAGTAGCTAAGTTCAGCATTTAAGTTACAAAAAGCAAAAGCTTGGAAGTAAACTAGAAATGTTAACACTGTGGAAATGTTCACAACGATGATAGTACCTATAAAACAGAAAACATGCAGCTATTGTGAACAACGTTTACAGAGAACTTTTAGTTATGTGAAAAAATACAGAGTACAATGTGAAATGAAAAATCAGCAGAGTTCAAAATTATCGATCTTGTTTCATCTCTTCATTTAATTGATGCCACATAAAAAAATTAAGACTGAAATGATATAGACCAAAGTATATTGTTGATATAACACTAATTTTTATTTTCTTTACAAACTTGTTTTTTTCATATCATACTATTTGTTATCAAGAAAGAAGTATATTTCAAAAATGAATTCCATGTTTCTTTCAAATTAAAAAGGAAAGAAAAGGGGGTAAGGGTAAGAAGACTAAATTTTTAAGCCCAGTAGTAGAATGAAACTGTCATTAATCTTGGTTTGAAAACCAGTAGATTTGGTGCTATCGAGATCAAAAACCATAATGATTGTGCTGATTGTGATTGACGTGGCATTTTTAAACTTCCAAGAAGAAAACATTATTATGGATGGTTATTTCTGTTCATTCCTATTTTGCTTTTCTCTTTAGATGTAATTGACAACTGTAAGCTGGTTTCAGATGAATGTCGAAAAAAGGTAAACACTAACCCAGAGTTAGATAAACAGTAGCCTGGATGTTAGTCAGAGACCCACTGTTCTTTTTGCCTGGGGATTTCTATAGTTCATTCACAGAAACATGTCTGGCAGCAAAGTGATTATATTTATACTTGGCACACAGAAAATACTGAACAAAACTAAGGTCTATTACATGGATCATATAACTCTCAGCATGGTTTGGTGGGGGGTGTTTTCTCTCTTTATTGTTTATTTCTTTATTTATTTGGGCCACACCCTGGGTGCTCAGGGCTTACTCTGGGCCCAGTTCTCAGGGATTACTTTTGGAGGGGCTCAGGGAACCACATGGGGCTGGTCCTGCTGGGAATGGAATTGGGGGTCAACCATGTGCAAGGCAAGCACCTTACACCCTGTGCTGTCCCTCTGTCTGTATTTTATTTTATTTTATTTATTTATTTTGGCCTTTTGGCTCACACTCGGTGATGCACAGGGGTTACTCCTGACTTTGCTTGGGAGACCATATGGAATGTAGGGGATTGAACCCAGGTCAGCTGCGTGCAAGGCAAATGCCCTATCCACTGTGCTATCGATACTCCAGCCCCAAGTTCGTTCTTTTGGACTGTCCCCTCCTTCTCTGCTTTGTTGGCAGCATCTCAGGGTTTTCGTTGGGCATTGTCTTACTTTGCTTCTTTATTCACTGGAAACAACATCATCCAATATTTGTCTCTCCTGACTCACTTCACTTAGCACGAGGCCCTCCGGGTTCTGAGTTGAACTGAAACGTGAGATTTTGAGAGTTGGGGGAAAGATCAGTTGTGCCACACCGCAGCCCAGGTCAGGGCTTACTCCTGGCGGTGCTCAGGGGACCACATGTAATGCTGGGGACTGAACCCAGCTTGGAAGGCAAATGCCCTGCCCGCTGTACTCCAGCCCCTATTTTGTTGTTGTTGTTTTTCTGTCACACTTGGCTATGCTCAGGGCTTACTCCTGGCATTACTCAGGCATTACTCTTGGTGGTGCTTGGGGAACCATATGAGATGCTGGGGCTCGAACCCCGGGCAGCCCCATGCAAGGCAAACGCCCTACCTGCTGTACTATTGTTCTGGCCCTGCATCTCTGGAATCGTCGTGACTGTGTTCTGTGTTTATTTCTAGCTGTTAGAACTAAAAGAAAAATATTATTCAATTGAAATTGATCCTTACCTAACCATAGACCAGAAGTGTCCTCACATAGTTGAATGGTAAGTGTGTCAAAGGTAATGGGAAGGCTTATATTATAATGAGATAAATTATATTTACCTCTCAGGTTTATTTCTCTTCTAAACTATATTTAAATATTTATGAATAATTATGCAGTAATTAAATACAATAAAATTACATTTTATTCTCTAATCACTCTGGAGTTTGTTTGTTTCACTTTTTCTTTCTTTTTTGGGGGGAACCACACCCGGCTATGCTCAGAGCTTATTACTGACTGCTTATTCCTCACTCTCTGGTGGGGCTTGGGGGGAGTGTGGGAATGCCAAGGATTGAACCTACTGTGCCTGCTGTGTTATTGCTTTGCCTGTTTTGGGGTTTTTTGTTTGTTTGTTTGTTTTTGTTTTAAGATGAAGGTCAGGGGCTGGAGAGATAGCATGGTGGGTAGGGCACTTGGTTTGCATGCAGCCCATCCAGTTTCCATCCCTGGCATCTCATATGGTCCCCTGAGCACCTCCAGGAATGATTACTGAGTGCAGAGCCAGGAGTAGCCCCTGAGCATCGCTAGATGTGGCCAAAAATACATAAATAAAAAGATGAAGATCAGTAGGAATAAATTTAAAATCCTAAACATACATCTTAAAAACAAATTTAGTTTTGGTTTTGAAACACACCTGGCAATGCTGAGGGCTTACTCTTGCCTCTGTGCTCAGGGATCATTCCTGGTAAGCTCAGGGGAACATACTGGGTGCTGGGGATCAAAAAACCTGGTCGGTGTCTCGCAAGACAAGTGCCCTGACACTGGACTATCTCTGTGGCCCCTAAAAACAGCAAAAAAAAAAGTCAGTTATTTGATCAGGATGCGTATGAATATATAAAGAAAAAGAATTATAATTTAAATTGAGTCCAGACTCATTTGGAGCCAGCAGGTGACAGAGTCACTGAGAATTAAATTTCTGGTGGTGGTTATGCGAAGGGAAATGCAGCGTTGCAGGGCAGGGTGCTTGCCCTGATGCAGCTGATCTAGATCTGATCCCTGGCACCCTATCTGGAACCCTGCCAGGAGTGATTCCTGAGCACAGAGCCAGAAGTAAGCCCTACACACTTCTGGGTACAACCCCAAAACAACTACAGCAAAAACATATATTTAAAAGGCATCATTGCAACAGACCTTTGAAAGCCTTGAGTCGACTCAGTGATGACGCTGTTTCAGAGAAATGTCGACGGACACTCTGAGTCAGCCAGAGCAGCCTGTCCCAGGGGAATGGTTTGACTCCTGACTCGGCCCCTAGTTGGGTACTGCAGGAAAGACTTGCAAACAAGACTCTAGACATTTATGATATTCTGATTTATCAAAACGTTTAAATGGATGTTGAGATGCCTCCCCAGTGTCCAGTCCCTGGTTTCAGAATATTAAGAGACCAGGAATGATGATATTTTTCTTCATTATCCTATAACCTGGGCTGGAGTGATAGCACAGCGGTAGGGTGTTTGCCTTGCGCACAGCCAGTCTGGCCGAGCCGGTTCGATTCCTCCGCCCTTCTCAGAGAGCCCAGCAAGCTACTGAGAGTATCACACCCGCACGGCAAAGCCTGGCAAGCTCCCCGTGACGTATTCGATATGCCAAAAACACAGTAACAACAGGTCTCAAAATGGAGACGTTACTGGGCCCGCTCGAGCAAATCACTGAACAAAGGGAGGACAGTGACAGTGATCCTATAATCTGACAGAGTACTTTGTACAGTCAGTGATTATGGGATGAAATGTTGCAAAAAAGATTTGACTCGTTCTCCATGCCTGTAAAAGTGGAAGTGGACTTAGATACAGAAGGACTCTCTAGCAAAGAGAATCTTTTTGCAATGGAATAAGCATGCTAGGAAAATGTATTGCTCCTGTTAGGAACACCAGCCAGGCGGTAGGATTCACTTAGGAATATTGTCCAGGAAAGTCTTACACAAAAAGGCTTTTATATTAAAATGCTGTGTTTATGGGTGAATTATAAAGCACCAATATGTAAACTTTTCCATGACAAGGATTTTCCCTAATACTCTCATACTAGGCAGCATTTTCTGTACTGTTGTGTTCCATGAGAGTTCAGAATGCAAACATGTGAAAGAAAAAAATTTTGCTTTAATTTTACTGCAGTAATAAAAATGTTTATGCTTTCTTAGGTTGACCTCAGTTCTTCAGTGTAGATTGAAGAAAGTTTTATTATACCATTAGCACATTTGCACAAAGCCAGAGATGGGCTTGACCTAGACAACATATAAGAATATGTAGATCCCACTTTGAGACTCCTGGGGGAATATATTCTCTAGTGATCAATTTAAATCTCTAAAACCAAAAGCTAAAATATGATGGATGAAATTCTGCTTTGCTTAATTTGAAGAACAGGGATGGAAGTTTTCATTTTCTGTAATTGATATTTTCTTTTTCTTGCTCGTATTTCCAGGTATACTAAATCACATAGCTTGCTGGTTGAACAAGCTATACCAAAAGATAAACTTAGAGAAATTGTGGCAGAATCTGACATTATGCTCAAGTAAGTTTCTTGGGTGTTTTTATTGTCAACTGTCTATAGACTTGAACTTGTTGTGGCTGTGTTCGCATTTGTGTTTTATTAAAATAACTTGTAACATAAAAGCATAAACAAAATATACCACCTATCTCTCACAAGACACTAGTGAAATAAGGATGTGAGAACCTAGGTGAAACCATGGTATACAAAGTTGTATTTTCTTTCTTCAGATTAGAAATTTCAGGAAAGTACAAATTGGGGCCAGAGCAATAGTACTGCAGGTAGGCACTTGCCTTGCAGGTGGCCGACCCAGTTTGATCTCTGGCATCCCTTAGGGTCTCCCAAGCACCACCAGGAGTGATTCCTGAGTACAGCGCCAGGAGTAAGCCCTCGGCAATGCCAATGTGGCCCGCAAACAAAAAACTGTTTCAAATGTATGGAACTAAAAGCATTTTGGATTTCCTTTGCAATTCCATTGCCGTGTACACGGGGTAGGGGGTGGGAAGGTGTGGGGGACACAGGCCACTCTATATGCTTGAGCCCAGAAATACAGCGGTGCCTGGCGCAAGTGTGCTGACAGTTTCCAGGGTTAGAGCCCTGCACTCCGGGGAGAACATGCAAATTTGGGAGTTGCACTTGAAGCCTTTTGAGTGCCAGGCGCAAGCTCCCAGGAAGAATCAAAGGAAGAACAGATTTTCAGAGCAAAACATGAACTGCAGCTGCCAGGTCTTAGGTAAGAGAGGTGCCGACTGGTTTGTAGCAGGGTAGGGAAGGAGCAGGGCTGCAGCTTGCCCTTGGGTTTTCCAGTGTACGGTTTAATCCTTTACTACTAAGCAGTATACATTTGGAATAGTCTCTGCAGCATATCAATATAATAGCATCCCAATTCTTATTTATTTATTTATTTTGCTTTTTGGGTCACATCCGGAATTGCTCAGGGGTTACTTCTGACTCATGCACTCAGGAATTACTCCTGGTGGTGCTCGGAGGACGATATGGGATGCTAGGAATTGAACCCAGGTCGGCTATGTTGGCTGCGTGCAAGGCAAACGCCCTACCCGCTGTGCTATCGCTCCAGCCCCAGCCTATTCTTATTTATATGATTAGAATTTATTAAAAGGCCAAAAATCATCATATTTATACTATTACTGTATAAATGATGTATAAACAGTAACAATGTGTAACTGGACCAGTAACTATATAAACAATAACAATGATGGTCCTCATTCCCCTGATCCTGAAAGAGCCCTCCATATGCCATCGGGCTACACTAGCACGACTGGGACAAGTGGAAACGTTACTGGTGCCCACTCGAGCAAATCGGTGAACAACAGGATGACAGTGAGACAGTGATACAGTGATTTATACTATTAGCACTTATTAGAAGGAAAGTAAAATATCACCTGTTGTTTGAAAATACTGTTCTAGTTCTAATGTCACAGGTATCAGTAAGAGCCCTATTGGGCACTGTTTGGAAATGCGCGTGTCAAGTAAGCCTCTGGGGCATTTAGCTTCTGTACTTTCAGGTTAACAGTTTCTGACTCTTTGCAGGGAAGGCTATGAGACTTTCTTTGATAAGCTCCATCAACACAATGTCCCTATGTTCATCTTTTCGGCTGGAATTGGTGATGTACTAGAGGAAGTTATCCGGCAAGCTGGTGTTTATCATCCAAATGTCAAAGTAGTGTCCAATTTTATGGATTTTGATGATGCTGTAAGTACATACTTTCAAGATGTGAAAATATTTTAATCATGTAGCTGCATTTCATTCTTTTTTTTTTTCCTTTTTGAGTCACACCCGGCGATGCTCAGGGATTACTCCTGGCTCTGCACTCAGGAATTACTCCTGGTGGTGCTTGGAGGACCATATGGGATGCCGGGGAACAAACCTGGGTTGGCTATGTGCAAGGCAAACGCTCTCCCCTCTGTACTATCACTCCAACCCCTGCTATTTCTATTTTTTAAAACATATGCCCTCCATCTTTTATTCCCCAAGTTCTGGACTCATACTAAAATTATTAGAACTTCCTTTAAAGCCATTTGATGTAGTGGCTTCACAGACTTAACATCTTCTTCTGGAAAGAAAGAAGTGAATTAGAACCGACATTATTTGAAAAGTTCTTTCATCAAACAATGTATTACGATATACATAAAATGTACTTTTCAGAGAGAAACCAGTGGAAAAGTAAAAAGTTGATTTTTTTTTTTTTTTTTTTTTTTTTGCTTTTTGGGTCACACTCGGCGATGCACAGGGGTTACTCCTGGCAGTGCTCAGGGGACCAACCATATGGGATACTGGGAATCGAACCCAGGTCAGCCGCGTGCAAGGCAAACGCCCTACCCGCTGTGCTATCTCTCCAGCCCTGAAAGTTGAATTTTTAAGCTGTTGTGTTCAATGCTAAGTCATTTCTAGTAAGCAGTTTCTGCTTAGAACCCTTTGTGTCTGTTACGATTTTGCAAAATCAAAGTGTGTATTTGAGACAATTTCTGTTTTTAATAGGGAGTGCTCAAAGGATTTAAAGGAGAACTGATTCATGTATTTAACAAACATGATGGTGCCTTGAAGAACACAGAATATTTCACTCAGCTAAAAGACAATAGCAACATAATTCTCCTGGGTGACTCCCAAGGAGATTTGAGAATGGCAGATGGAGTACCCAATGTTGAATATGTCCTCAAAATCGGATATCTCAATGACAGAGTAAGTATTACAGACCTGTCCTTTCACTTTGAGAAAAAAAAAAAAATGAAGATGAAATCATGTTTACTGGCAGGTTTTTTGTTTTTTGTTTTTGTTTTTTTTTTTTCCCTTTTTGGGCCACAAGGATGAAATTGTCTGGCAGATTGTTCCCAGAGGTACTTTCGAACAGAGTTAGAGACATTTTGAGTGCTTCTAATTTCGTGATGATTAGGACTTGTCTTGCCATATAACGGGGGTAGGTACTGGAGGAAAGCAGGCTCCGTACTCAGGAGGCTTCTCATGTTTCCTGAAGACCCTGGAGTACAAATTCCCCATTTGGGAGCCACTCACTGCATTAGAGAGAAATCATTTTAGCAGAAAAGCCATAATGTAGGAGAGTCTGTCATGAGTCAGAAAAGTTATTGCTTCTGCGTTTCAAAGTTTTAAGGAGGGGCCAGATAGCACAAAGGTTAAGACACTTGCTTAGTGCACAGTTGCAGCCGGGATCCTGGTTCGTATTCTGATGCTGCATGTGAGCCTCCGAGCACTGCTAGGTGCTCCCTGAGCACTGCCCTTGTGTCCCACCTCCACCCTAAATGGGTTCTATGAAAGTGAATTTAAATGTAGTGCACTTTGCAGTAGATCTAACAGAACAATGAGATGCGTATTGAAATTTTCTTCTCCCTGCACCCATCTAATTGGTGTGTGTTTCTCTTGCTGTTGATTAGGTGGACGAGCTCCTGGACAAGTACATGGACTCTTATGACATTGTTTTAGTCAAGGATGAGTCATTGGAGGTAGCCAACTCTATCTTGCAGAAGATTCTGTAAGGACGTGTTTTTCAAGAAGGACTCCTTCCTTCAGGTGCAATTTATGCAAGAGCTGTTCATCTTGCCGACTCTTGTTTTAGATATGCTCCAGCTCTTCAGTTTCTCCTTTACATTACTGACACTCCTTCAGACAAGTGACTCCATCGACCGGAAGTCCAACCTCACTCGACACTCCTTACCATATTTGCAGTAGATGAAAAGAAAAGTCCTAAAGCCAAAGTTTGAAAACAATAACCCCATGTCTCCAGAGTGAATTTCGTAGTTTAATGTTATCAGAAAGTTTCTGACAAGACTTTTTTGCACTGAGAAACTTATAGAAGTTTTAAAAGTTTTATGAAATGCTGAAACATACATGACTTAAAAATATTGCCCTTTTTTAAAACTGAGGAGACTTGTGCTAATAATAATCACCCTTTGAAATGTGTGTTATTTTGGGTATGCTGTTTGGTGTGAAATCGATACCAGAAAATATTGCTACTTGATGTTTGAAAAAATACTGGTGTCTACACATCACTAATTATTATAAAATGTTCTGTACCTGAGGCACTGGTAATAAACATGAAATGGAAAAGTCTTTGTAATTCTATTGTCAGGACTATTATTTTTCATTTCTTCAACAGACATTTATTAAGTATTTGCCATGTTTTTATTGTATATGTGGATGCTATCTTAATAACCTATTGCAGTGTCTATAAAAACAACTTATTTTTAATATTATATATAGAGCCAGGAGTTTACATTATATTATATATGTTATAGACAGAGCCAGGAGTAAGCTGTGAGTTCTGCTGGATATGGCTCCCCCAAAACCACAAAAACAAAATACAGAGATCAGATAAGGTTCAAGGACCCAAGCCACTAGGCTTTGAAATCAGTCAAACCCTGACTGGAAATGAATCTGATACTACCCGGGAGCTCAAGTAAATTTCTAACTGGAAGTCTTGGTTTCCTTATCTGTATTAACTCCAGAAGGAAAAATCCAATTCATTCAACAAATGACATTTATTTATTATTGAATCACTGTGAGATGCAGTTACAAAGCTTTCATGTTTGAGTTTCAATGATCGAATACCCATCCCTCCACCAGTGCACATTTTCCACCACCAATATCCCCAGTATTCCCACCTCCACCATCCCAACCCTCCCCCTGCCTCTATGACAGACAATTTTCCCCATACTCTCTCTCTACTTTTGGGCATATGGTTTGCAATATAGATACTGAGAGGCTATCACGTTTGGTCCTTTATCTACTATCAGCACACATCTCCCATCTCGTACGATCCCTCCAATCATCATTGACTTAGTGATCCCTTCTCTTTTCCAGCTGCCTTCTCCCCCTGCTCTTATGGCAGGCTTCCAACTATGGAGCAGTATTCCTGGCCCTTGTGTCTACTGTCCTTGAGTATCAGTCTCATATTATGTTATTTCATATTCCACAAATGAGTACAGTCACTCTATATCTGTCCCTTTCTGACTCATTTCACTTGGCATGATACTCTCCATGACCATCTACTTAAAAGCAAATTTCATGACTTCATCTTTCCTAACTGCGTAGTATTCCATTGTGTAGATGTACCATTGTTTCTTTAACCAGTAGTCTGTTCTCTGGTACTCGGGTTGTTTCCAGATTCTGGTTATTGTGTACAGTCCTGCAATGAACATACAGGTGCATTTGAACATGCAGATGTCATTTCTACTGTGCTTTTTTGCACCCTTGGGATATATTCCCAGAAGTGGTTTGTGGGGTCATATGGAAGCTCAGTTTCTAGTTTTTTAAGGAATGCCCATATTGTTTTCCAAAAAGGCTGGACCAGTTGGCATTCCCATCAACAATTAAAGAGCGTCCCTTTCTCCCACATCCATGCCAGCACTGGTTGTTCTTATTCTTTTTATGGGTGCCAGTCTCTGTGGTGTGAGGTGATATCTATTATTGTTTTGATTTGTATCTCCCTGATGATTAGCGATGTAGAGCATTTTTCCATGTGCCTTTTGGTCATTTCTATTTATTTATTTATTTATTTTGGCTTTTTGGGTCACATCTGGCGATGCACAGGGGTTACTCCTGGCTCTGCACTCAGCAATTACCCCTGGTGGTGCTCAGGGGACATTATGGGATGCTGGGGATCGAACCCGGGTCAGCCACGTGCAAGGCAAATGCCCTACCCGCTATTGCTATTGCTCCAGCCCCTCTATTTATTTTTTGAGGAAGCTTCTGTTCATTTCTTCTCCCCATTTTTTGATGGGGTTGGGGGTTTTTTCTTGTACAATTCTACTAATGTCTTGTATATCCTGGATATTAACCCCTTATCGTATTCTTTCCCATTCCATGGACTTTCTCTGTCTGGACAACTACCTGCAAAAAAATGAATTCTGACCTCTGTGTAATGCCAGGCACAAAAGTCAGATCAAAGTGGATTAAAGACCTTAATATCAGACCTGAATCCATAAGGTACATGGAGGAAAATGTAGGCAGAATCCTCCATGACATTGAACTTAAAGCATCTTTAAGGATGAAACACCACTGACCAAGCAGCTGGAAACAAACATAAACAAATGGGACTATATTAAACTAAGAAGCTTCTGCACCTCAACAAATGACATTCAAATCCTTCTATGTATAGGTTGCTAAAAAGGGAGAAGCAGGGAGCATTGGGTGGACAGTACAGGAGGTAAGACACTTGCCTTGCATGTAGCAGCAGCATTCACGATATTGGTTTGAATCCCCAACACCACATGTGATCCCCTGAGCACCACCAGGTGTGGCCCAGCCCCCAACAAAAAAGGTTTTACAATATAATGAGATGAAACCTCATCAACAGATATGAGAAAAGCTATAGGAGAGGGCTGGAGCAATAACACAGCGGGTAGGGTGTTTGCCTTGCATGCGGCTGACCCGCGTTCAATTCCCAGCATCCCAAATGGTCCCCTGAGCACCACCAGGAGTAATTTCTAGTGCATGAGCTAGGAGTAATCCCTGTGCATCAGCGGGTGTGACCCAAAAAGCAAAATAAATAAATAAAAAGAATAGCTCTAGGAAATGGGGGTGGAGGGGAAGGAGGAGAATGAGAGGCAAAGATGAAGAATAAGCAGACCAGCTCAAGTTGGCCAGATCTTGGTAAGCAGTTTGAGAGTAGACAAGATTAAGTGAAGAACGTTGGCTAAATCAGGCAAGTCAGCACATCAGACAACCCAAGTGAAATGCTTACGGCCCAGGAGGAGGGAGGGAGCTACTCTTACAGGACCAGTGTGGCATAGAGAACAGCTCATCACTCACTACACAAAAGGGTCATCAGAGAGAAGGTTCCTGGTGCTGTCGAATCCAGAAACTACAGGATGAGACAGAGCTGCCATCTTCATGCACTGAGGGAGAAGCATTCTGAGGAGAGAATGGCACAATCAATGGAGTTCGAAGAACTGAGACCTGGTTTCCCATTGTGAGCAAAAGGGAAGAAAAATGGCCTCAGCCAGACAGGAAGTAGGTGGTGCAGGTGACACAGCTCCTGACAAACCTGGTTTCCCCCTCCTGCGGGCCATGCTGTGCTCAGAACTGCTGAGGTGGAGTGGACAGGTAGAGGTGTGGACAGACGTAGGCAAGCCAGTCAGGGGCCGCCACCATAGGCCACACTGGATAGGGTGAGTTGTCCACACAGTATGGAGCTGCAAAAAAGTAGATCATCTTCAGTAATAAAGATGAAGAACTAGGACTGGAGAGATAGTCCAGAGGGTAGGGTGCTTGCCTTGCATGCAGCAGACCCAGAATTGTTCCTGAACACCACCAGGAGTGACCCCTGAATGCAGAGCCAGGAGTAAGCCCTGGGCACTGCTGGGTGCGGCCCCCAAAACAAAACAACAAATACATATAAACCGTCAGGATTCACTTCGGATTAGAGGTCTAGCATGAGAGAACAGGAGAGTTTGCAGATGTCCTGTGTGAGCAGATGGTCCAAGGGTGGAAGATACTTGGACGGACTGTCGGGAAGGATTCTCCCCAAATATATTCTGTTCTGGAATATTCTATTCTGGATGCACAGTCTCTGAGGTGCTGGGATATATAAAAGTGACACCATATAGGCAGAAGGAGAAAGTTTGGCAGGAACAGTGATGTTGGGCATTGTACTTAAGTGAACATCCAATTGGCCAGCATAATTTGGAATGAATCCCAACATTAAGAAAATTTTGACATTTTGGACAAAGATCACATAGCCAAACTACAAGCACCCGCGTTCTATTCAAACCAGCAATAAACTGGGAACAGTATTTTTTTTACTTTACAAAGAGCATAACACTCCTCTAATGCATGTTGCCTCCATTAAAAAATAATCTCCAAGAGAGAACAAGGGAAAATGATGTGGAGAAAGAAGCGTTGCTCTAGGAACCATATGTAAGTATTAAAGAATTTATGTCTAACGTCTTGCAGATAAGCTGATTTTTCTGCCAAAATAATTTTGATTTTTTTGTCATTTTTGTTTTGTCTTACAAGAAACATTTTTAAAAAAAATTTTTTTAATGAATCATCATGAGATACAGTTACAGACTTACAAACTTTCGTGCTTACGTTTCAATCATACAGTGATCAAGTACCCACCAGTGCCCTCCACCAGTGCCCATTCTCCACCACCAATGTTCCCAGTATCCCTCCCCCATCTCCCCCATCCCCCCGCCCCCGCCCGCCTCTGTATCAGGCAGATTCCCTTTTACTCTCTCTCCTTTAGGGTGTTGTGGTCTGCAATGCAGGTGTTAAGTGGCCATCATGTTCGGCCTCTAGTCTACTTTTAGTACACCTCTCCCATCCTGAGTGGGTCCTTCAAGCATCCTTTACTTGGTGGTCCCTTCTCTATCTGAGCTGCCTTTTCCCCCAGCATGTGAGGTCAGCCCCCAAGCCATGGAACAATCCTCCTGTTCCTTGTCTCTACTATCTTTGGGTGTTAGTTTCCCATTTTGTTACTTTATATTCCACAAATGAGTGCAATACAAGAAACATTTTGAAAGGCCTTATATATTCCTAAGTAGTCAGACCTTAATCCACACAAGTGATTCCAGAACAGTGCAGCTCGCTTCCATAGCAGGGTGTGGACTAGGCCCTTGTGTGAAGTCAAGGGTCATGGTCTTATAAATGATCCCCTCCAGGCATCAATGACCTCATCTCTGGGGCCCAGAGTTCATTTCTTACCTCTTAGACATGGCTGATCCCACGGAAGCTTATGAATGAATGTCACTTAGGTCCAGGCTGACCCTCTCAGCACCACAGAAACTGCCAACAAATACTTCAGAAAATTCACATGTGGGGGCCAGAGTCATAGTACTGCAGGTTGAGTCTTTGCTTTGCACTCAGCCCACCCAGGTTCGATCCCCAGCACTCCCTACGGTCCCCCTGCACTGCCGGGAGTGACCCCTGAGCACCACTGAATGTGCCCCCCGCAGCTCCAAATGCCATGGGGCATCTCTGTTCTGTGTCTGATCCCCTGATTAGCACTCCGCTCATCCCATGACTGCCATGTGAAGCCTTCCGCTCATCCCATGACTGCCATGTGAACATGGGCAGTTGGTTAGCGGCCACAGTGAGGCCAGCCAGGCTGCTTAGGAGATAAAGGCCCCGCATGCATGGCCAGCTGAGGTCATGGCCAGCAACACCCTTCAGCACTACAAAACAGACTACGAACACTGACTTACTTGTAGAATACCTGTCACTGTAGCACTGTCCTCCCGTTGTTCATCAATTTGCTCGAGGGGGCCCAGTAACGTCTTCATTTTGAGACTTATTGTTACTGTGTTTGGCATATCAAATAATACATCACGGGTAGCTTGCCAGGCTTTGCCGTGCAGGCGAGATACTCTCGGTAGCTTGTCGGGCTCTCCAAGAGGGGCGGAGGAATCGAACTCGGGTCGGCCATGTTGGCCGCTTGTAAGGCGAACACCCTACCCGCTGTGCTATCGCTCCAGCCCTTGTAGAATATAAAAATAAATAAATAAATCTAATTCATGGATAATGGAGAAAAGTGCTGGTAAAAACCTCTGTTTGGGGGCCAGAGAGCTAGTCTAGTGGGTAGGTTGGTTGACATCCTGTATGGTCCCCAGAGCAGCTCCAGGAGTGATCCCTGAATGCAGAGCCAGGGGTAACCCCTGAGCACCACTAGGTGTGGCCCCCAAATAAATTAAAACCTTACATACGTAAGGTGAATATTGTATAACTAAGACATTAAAATAGAACTTTCATAAAAGCCCGGGAGAGCTCACAGAGCTGGGACACAGGCTTGGCCTGTGGGGGGTCCAGGTTTGAGCCTCAGAACCACACGGTCCCCTGTGCACTGCACAGGAGTAATGCCCAGGACCACTAGGTGTGATCTCAACATAAAAAGGGGTGAGACCGGAACTCAAGCACCACCATGTTCATGGCCGCTCTCCACACGCTTGGGCCAAGCCTCACCCATGAGGGAAGCTGCAGAAAACCCAGGCATGCGGGATTTTGTGACTGAAAATTCTGGGTTCAACGGAACCAGGCACAGGTGTCTTCCACCCATCTCCCCGTTTCCAGCAACTCAGCAGTCAATTATCAGCTGGCGCCAGATAATCTCGTCATCCACCACGATCCAAAGTCGCATGTCTTTCTCTCCCAGAAGGGAGCATAACATGACACACGCTATAGCCATGCTGCCGCACCCAGCACCATGCTGTTCCATTCGGGGCTCTCCGGAGGGGGGCGGGTGAGACCCCTCCCCGCCCCAAGGGACCCAGCCTCAGCAGCCAAAAACCTCCAGAACTCAACCTCCTCCCTGCTCATGGCTGCTCTCCACACGCTCGGGCCAAGCCTTACCCACGAGTGAACCTATTCCTGGAATGCGCAGCCCCGAATGCCTCATAACTCATACCACCCATACTCCAAGAGTAGCACACTACATTTGATGGGGTTTAAAGTAGAAGGCAACCAATCTTAGAGGTAAATATATATTTTTTTACATATATGCATATACATAAAAAGGGGCATAAAAGCACACAAGTCTTAACCTTTAATGACATGTTAGTGATCTCTTATAGAAGGGTTTAATGGCCCCAGGGTGAGATACAACAATCTTCAAACTCTTTCCTCTAAGAAAACTATTTTTGGAGCATTTTCAGGGGTTTTTCATAACAAACTACACAAAATAATTTCGGTTCTGCTTTGGGGCATGGGTTGGTGTTCAGGATAGAAACGTCCGAATTATGGTGGTGGGAAGGTGTAACGGTGGTGGGGTTGGTGTTCAAATATTAAATGTAATCAAATATTGTGAACTACTTTATAAAATTTTTAAAAAATGGAAAATTTTTTAAAAAGGGGGGAGAAATACATAAGTTTTGGGGTGTGTTGACTTGATAAAGGGGTTTTTTCACAGCATGCAGTCATATAAACTCAGTATATTTTAAATATACAATTTTGGGGGCTGGAGTGATAGTACAGTGGGTAGGGCGTTTGCCTTGCACACGGCCAACCCGGGTTCGATTCCCAGCATCCCATATGGTCCCCTGAACACTGCCAGGGGTAATTCCTGAGTGCAGAGCCAGGAGTAACCCCTGTGCATCACCAGGTGTGACCTGAAAAGGAAAAAAATAGATATATATATGTACAATTTTGTTTGTGCAGAGCCAGAGATAGTACAAAGTTAGGGCACTTGCTTGAATGTGGCAGTGAGTGTTGCAAACCCCCCAGTACCCAATATGGTCCCCCAAACTCACCAGTGATTCCTGAGCACCACCAGCCCCCAAACTAAACCAAAATTATCATGTGTTGATATCGTGAGAGAGAACCCATATTCACATCTTTCATTGCAACCTGTTGGCAAAAATGCTCTATTAGTGTTCACTGTTCTCTTCCTGTGCCTAAATTATATAAGTTGTTTTAGGTTTTTATGTGGTACCACAGACCAAGGGTGCTAGGAGTGATAGCACAGTGGGCAGGGCGTTCGCCTTGCACATAGCTGACCCAGGTTCAATTCCTCCATCCTTCTCAGAGAGCTGGGCAAGCTACTAACAGTATCCATCTGCACGGCAAAGTCTGGCAAGCTCCTCGTGGTGTATTCGATGTGCCAAAAACAGTAACAATAAGTCTCATAATGGAGATGTTACAGGTGCCCACTTAAGCAAATCGATGAACAACGGGAGGACAGTGCTACAGTGCGACAGTGCCACAGACCAAATCCAGGACCTCAGATATGCAAGGCAATGCCTGTCTCCTGAGTTACACTCCTGGTTTGTACCCAAAACCATCAATCAAACTCTGCCCCAGGTCATCACGTGCAGGAAGAAGACGTACTGAACACCAGGTTTCATACAGCCACAGGCTGTCCTGGAACAAAACGCCCAGAGGAGGGGACGAACGTCTCCAGCAGAGTCAGAGATCAGAAAACACCGATGCTGCAGCTGACAGACAAGTTTAAAACAAAATCAAAGGTCAGAGAGATGGCTCAGGGTCAGGGCAACTGCCCCGCATACGCAAGGTCCTGAGTCCACCCCAGCAACCACGTGGCCCCCAGCATCACTAGGTGGGGCCCTGGTGGCTGGTCCCCGAGCACCAGGTGAAGCTCCTAGGGCTCCTAGCTTAGAAAAACAAAGGGGGGGGTGAGGCTGGAATGTAGGTCAGTGGTCAGACTCAGATTCTCTGACCCTAAACTCAACTCTTCATTTCCACCAGGAAGTCTTTTCTATCAATCAGCCTGTTCTATAAGCTTAGAAAACAGTCAGTGAAGAATGCAAACCCAACAAGGCTGGAGTGAAGGGCAGCAAGCAGGTGAAATCTGCAGGAGTGATTCCCTGAGTGCAGAGCTAGGAGAAAGCCCTGAGCACCACTGGGTGAAGCTCAAAAGCAAAAAAAAAAAAAAAAAAAAAAGCAAGCAAGCACAGAGCCAACAATCTAGCACAGAGATAAAGTAATGGTGTTATCTGCATGCAGACACGGGTCGTGGAGCGAATGCGGTGTTAGAAGTCAAGGACATTTTGGTCTAGCAAAGGACTGACAGGAAACTGACAGAGAGGCAGGCTGGGACACACTTGACCACAGCAGCTGCGGCCAAAAACTCTAGGTATCTCTTTTTGTCTCCACAAAGCACATGGAGTCCCCGAAGCAGCTTCTGCTGTTGCTTCGTGAACAATAAATGCACATACATAATCACATTTGGGGCGGGGGGCCCATACCCAGCAGTGCTCAGGTGTATCCTGGGTCTATGCTCAGGAATCACTCCAGCAGACCTAAGGGGCCACATGGGGTGCCGGGAACTGAACCCAGCTCAGCTGCCTGGAAGGCCACGTTCTCCCCATTGTGCTATGGCTCTGGCCCTATAGGATACCAAGTGGCTATGCTCCCTTTGCTTCCCCAACACTGGCCTCAGTTCCGCACACCCGCGGCTGAACTCCAACAGTCGCTCTTCACCCCCTCCCCGGGATCCGGGCTGGTTTCCACTGACGGAGTCAGCGGGCGCTGCTTCAGGCTGTGTGGCCAATATTCCGGCTGTGGCTTTCACTGTCCAGGAATTCCAGCCACTGCCCTACCAGGGCACCCGAGAGCCCCTTCTGCTTCCTTTGAAAACCTTCAAGCTCTGGGGTGGAATAGTCTCCTCTCTGGGGTCAGGGGCTCTGGAGAAGACCTTGAGTGTTTCTGCAGGACCTCTGATCACAGCCCACAACAGCAGGGAGCTCCCTTCACCCTTCCACCAGCTTCTCTCCAGAAGCCCCCCAGGAGAGCCTGTCACCCTGGACGGGGTCACACTCCCCACCCACTCTCAGATGATGCAGCCCACGGGGAGCCTCCCCCGGGGGCCGCAGACTGGGTGGCACATTGCAGGGGCCTTCAGCCTTCAGATGAACAGCTGCCGGCACTCAGCCCCCAGCAGCCCCCACCCACCAGGGTGGCCTATAAACACCTTTCAGAGCAACAAAAGATAGCACGAAACCAGATGATGACATTCAACCATTTTATATACTAAAAAATCAGTTTCCCAACATTCGTTTCATGGAATGAGTGCACGGCATTTTCAGGAACTACCTCAGGGCTGTGTCAGTACAAAACAGTTTAAATTAGTAGAACAGAGCCATTTCCAGAGGGGAATCGTTGATCACTGCAGCAAGTGTCTCCACTTGGGAAAGGGGCCATGGAAGAAGGGGCCACAGAGGCCTTGCATCCATCTCTGCACACAGGCCCCATCTGAACACAGAGGGGCCGCACGAGAAGGTCACCTTGTTTCTGCGCATTGTGGAGAAGACGCTTTCCTGTCCGGAGCCCAGCCTGGCCAGTCGCCAGGTGCCTGGACCACGCAGGGGGCAGGAGGATACTTTAGGGGACAGTGTCGGGAAGAAGAAAGGACAAAGCGAACACACAAGCCAGCTCTCTGCCCATGGTCTGAGGTACCCTGGCTTTGATCCAGGGCTTTCTTCTCCACTTCCAATTTAATAGGCACAACTGCAGAATCACAAGGTGGGCGTGGGACTGATTAAAAACGTATGCGTGTGCGTGTGCTGTGTGCACGGGTGCCTATTGTGCATGTGTGCACATGGGTCATGTGTCTGTTCATGCGTGTATGTGTGTGTGTGTGTACACGCACGTGCGCAGAGGAAGGTGGAGACCAGCTAAGCCTATCCCGGCTTCCACTTTCTGAGAAGACATGCCCCAACCCTCTGAGGAAGCCCCCGTGTATTTCTTGCTTATCTGGAGAATACTCTTTAAACACCAGCAAGGAAAAAAAAATGAATCCTCTTATGTAGAAGTCCTGGACACTTTTTCTTCTGATCCCTTCCAAACAGTTGTAGCTTCTGTAAGACACTATTTCCTTTTAGTAACAAAAACTACTCAAAGGCTCACATAGACTTTTCAGTACTCTACAGATCCCGTGCTAAGACCCTCATACTATCTTGGTTCCTGTCCTGGAAGTTGACCTAAAACTTTCACCATGCAATGGACCCGAGTTTGGGCTCCAGACACACATGACCATCTGTGTGGACCTCCTGGAGCCCTGCTCCCCACCCCCGTGCCCACTCTGCTGGGACAGGGGCAGGTATCACACAAGTGGCTGGTGTCGGGGTCAGAGTTCATCATGCTTGGCCTCCTGGTCCTTGAGTTTGAATTCCGCAGCCGTGACCTTCCCATCTCCGTTCCGGTCTTGGTTGGTGAACATGTTCTTCACAATCATCTCAGCATCAAAACCAGGCGCGAGCTTGCCCTTGCCACTTGCTACCTGGGCATGGATATACTCGGAGAACTGGAGAAGGGAAAGGGCAGAGGGTGAGAGCAGAACCAGACGCAGCCCTGGGCATGGGCAGAGATGCGGGGCCAGGAGCTGGACCCTGTGTGCAAGCTAGCAAAGCAAATAAAAGTCTTTGGAAATGGGTTTTCTCTTGATGCAGATTACACAGTCCTGACTACAGAACTCCTGAGTCCTTAAGTTCCGGCCACTAGGGAGATCTCTTCTCACCTTACCTCACACTGCTGAATGCATCCATTCATTCAAACAACAAAGACTTAGTAACTGCATCCTGGTATTGAGCGGCAGCCTAGGCCCTAGTGAAACCGCATTTATTTGATTTTTCTTTTCTTTTTGTTTTTTGGCTGGGGGGTGTCTTTGGGTCATGCTTGGTGGTGCTTAGGCCTTATTCTTGACTTTGCACTTAGGGGTCATTCCTGGCAATGCTTGGGGGCCATCTGTAGTGCCAGGGATCACATGTATAGCTAGTACCCTTCCCACTATACTATCACTCTGGCCACAAGACATCTCATTTAAACAACATCTCACCCTTGTAACTAGCATCTTCTGGTATAAAAGATAAGCCAGGAAAAGCAAGCATAAAAAGATCTTATTTATGTCTTAGGTCAGAAAGTTGAACTTTCTAGAAAAAAGGAAACGTTAAGCCAAGTAAAGATGCGTTAGAGTCCAGGAGGAACGAACGGGGAGATGGCTCACAGAGGCACAGTGAGGGGCGAGGCCCTGAGTCCACATGGCACATGTGCCCCTGATCCCCATGGGCCATACCTCAGAGTACCACGGGGAGGAAGCGAAAATGGGGGCCAGAGAGGCAGGATGGGTGAAGCGCCTGCCCTGCACAGTCCACCTGGGCTCCATCCCTGGGCGCACTGAAGCTCCTGAGCATCGTGGAGCAGAGCCAGGAATGGGCCCTGAGAACCGTAGGGAAATAAAAAGAGAAAAAGGCAAAGAGTCAGGTAGGAGAGCAGGTTGAAAGGCTCAACATGCGAGTGAGCATTAAAAAGAGAAAGAAAGGCCTGGCAAAGGCTTAAGGGACGCGAGAGGCGAAGCGAGGAGCAGCCTGGAGAACGTCTTCAGAGCCGCGAGTGGGCCAGCGTGGGCAGGAGAGCAGGCAGCAGGCAGGCCACTATCCGGCCTCTGGCCAGAGGGCATGTGAGGGGCTGCAAGAGGCCCCTCGCCGCTGTGCACATAGACAGGCTGCACGGGGTCAGCAGGAGCTCAGACGGGTGGGGCTGGCGAGCAGAGCCCACACTGCACGTCCTTTCAAGAGAGCTGGACCATCTCCTGCCCTGGGATTCATTCTGGGCAGCTCAAGGAGCTGGCAGACGATGAAGTCTGGGGAGCAGAGGGTCCATGGGAGGGATGAAGTAGAAGCAGAGCCTCAGCAGGGTGTGGACGGCAAAGCCATGGGTGGGGTGGCACCCAGGAGCAAAGCAAAGGTCAGCTCAGCGTAAAGGGTCTAGACAGGGACCCGGGGTCAGCAGGATGTTGGGGGCCCCGAGGGGCCTGCACAGGAGTCACCTGTGTACAGCAAGCACTGACCCAAGGGTGAGTCCCCGAGGACCTAGCTCACTGGCCCTAGGGACAAAGGTCACGGGAGAGGCTGGAAGGACAAGGAGGACCAGAGGCAGGGCACAGACAACTCTCATTTGTGTCTCACTGGCTTCCTCGCTTCCAGTCCCGTTTATACCGCGGTCACTTACAATACCGATCTGTCTCATGGATGCACCGTCCCAGCACCACTCTGACTACCGGGGTGTCCACTTCCCTCCACCAGCGTCCCAGGCACCCTCCCACGTCCACCCACGACCAGAACTCTCCTACGTGGACATAAAGAAGCACAGTGAGGTCAAATGGCCAAAGGCAACCGAACAATGATTCTCTTAAGGTTTTGTCATAAAAGGGTGCAAAGGAAGGGAAAAAATAGAAAGAGACGCCATGAGATAGGAAAATCAGAATAACAGCCCAGTAAGCAGTGGAATGCTGACGATGCAGGCAGAGGGCAGGAACCAGATCCTTGGAAAACAGATGTGGAATAATCCGGAATTCAATTGTGATGTGGCAGGAAGCAAAGATGTGGTGCAGGAAAAATGACAAGCATCTAGATGATCGGGATCTGGGTGTTTGTCTCACACACAGCCGACCCAGGCTGGGTCCCCAGCACCCCACAGGATCTCCTGAGCAGGAGTAGGAGTGATCCCTGATCGCAGAGCAAGGAGTCAGCCCTGAGCACAGCAGGTGTGACCCCAAAAGCAAACCCTTCCCCCAAAAGCAACACAAAAAAAGTGCTTGTATAATATCATGATTTATAAGAAGTTATTTATTTATACACTGTCACTGTCCTCCTGTTGTTCATCGATTTGCTCGAGCGGGCCCAGTAACGTCTCCTTTGCGAGACTTGTTGTTACTGTGTCTGGCATATCGAATACGTCACGGGTAACTTGCCAGGCTTTGCCGTGCCGGCGAGATACTCTCAGTAGCTTGCCAGGCTCTCCGACAGGGGCAGAGGAATTGAACACGGGTCGGCTGGGTTGGCTGCGTGCAAGGCAAATGCCCTACCCGCTGTGCTATGATATATGGTAGCTCAGACCAAAATATATCTCTCATAGATCTCATAGATCCATATTTCTTGGTTTTTTTTTGTTTGTTTTCATTTTGGAGCCACACCTGACAGTGCTCAGGGCTTACTCCTGGCTCTGCGCTCAGGGACCACTCTTGGTGGGCTCGGGGAACCCTATGGGATACCAGGAACAGAACCCGGGCTGACCACGCACAAGGCAAGCAGCTCACCCGCTATATTATCGCTCCTGCCCCCATTCGTCCACACTTCCTGGCTCACAGTTCACCAAGCCCTGAGAATTCCATGAGTGTTAGGAATGATAATAATGCCTGTTGGTATATTATTCAGGCGAGCTGCAGCAGCACCTAAGGACAAGGGATGGTTGTCAAGGGAACCAGCTCTGCAATCAGAGAATGAGGGCTGCCAGGGCTCAGGTGGGCAGAGGCTGGAGGCTGAGTTCAGCAGCTAGTGACATCATCAGTAATGCTTCAGCTACTGCACCTCATAAAAAGTCAGGACAGGGCGTGGAGTGAGAGTACAGCAGAGAGGGCATTTGTCTTGCATGTGAGGGTTGATTCTCATCACATGCCATCGGCACTGTGGCCTCCGCCACAGTTACACTTAGAAGGGTCCCGAACTGATGGACCAGGAGGCTGTGGTATAAATATATATATATAATATATATATATATTATATATGTATGTGAGCGTATATATATATATATATATATATATATAATGAAATACTATGCAGCTCTAAGAAAGGACAAAATCATGCCATTTGCAACAGCATGGACGGACCTAGAGGAGATTGTGCAAAGTCAGTCAGAAGGAAAGAGTCAGAGAAAGAATGACCTCTCTCCTGGATGGGACTTGAAGATACACAATAGAGGAGCAACAAAGGGACAAAGGCAACAATGGAACTAACACACTCAACTGAGTTGGTGGGGTGAGGGTGTGAGAGGTAGAGGCATGAGGCTCCTGGGGTGGCCGGTGAGGACCCTGGCAACAGCGGTGGTGTTGGTGCATGCCCAGAAACCACCAAGCAGTGCACCTCACAGAACTCCAATCAATAAAAATGAACCCTAAACAAACAAAAGTGCCCTGAGCCAGTGTGGCTCTAAGCTCCTGTCCCTGCATCCCCCAAAGACCCCTTACCTCTTCCAGAAGAACCTGTCCATCGCCATCCTTGTCGATCTCTTCAAAGAGGTTGGGGGACACCTCGTCGTTCCATACAAACATGTAGCCCTCAGGCAGGCCTGCCACCAGCTCCAGCAGCTCGATGTCAAACACCAGCACGGCACTGCCGGGGACCTCGCCCTCTGCTCACCAACAGAAGGGCCAGAGTTAGGATCCTGCCCACTGGCCCCAGCCACACACACACACACACACACACACACACACACAAGCTTCCCTACCCAAGCAACTCCCCGGGCTGTAGCTGGGCACCATCGCTGAGTCTGAGGCAGGTTCAGAGGGTGCTGACCAGCAGTTTTTTGTTTGTTTGTTTGTTTTTAATTTAAGGAACAGGGGTCAGAAGAGATTGTACAGTGGGTAGGGCCTTAGCCTTGAATATGGCTACCCAGGATTTAATCCCCTGCATCCCACAGGGTCCCCTGAGCACCACCAGGAGTGGCTCCTGAGTACAGAGCCAGGAGTAAGCCCTGACCACCACCAGATGTGGCTCAAAAAAAACAAAATAAAATAATTAACATTAAGGAACAGAATAAAATCGATGTGGATCAGTCCATTGCCAATAGAGAGAATAACTTTATGAAATAAGCTTTGATTTTCTATTTGACATAACATGTATTTGTTTAAGTCATGTTTATGTAGAAACAGAATGGGAAAGAAAAAAGAATTACATAGTCTGTATCTTGGTTAAAAAAAGTTGGATAGGCACTAGCAGAGATGACAATGGTAGAAACCTTGGATAGAATGAAGAGAAGATTTTCCTTTAAGTGGGGCCATCCCAGGGAAGCATCCTGGACCATCAGCAGGGCTAGGCCTGGTGGAGCTCAGGGCCCATTACACTGGGTCAGCACTCGGGTTTGTGCTGTCCACATGCCCTCCCTGCTTCCCACAGCAGAATATCAGAAGAAACATGCAAAGCCTTAAAATTATGATGTGGGGGCCAGAAAGACAGCATAGTGGTTAGCACAGTTGCCTTGCATGCAGCCAACCCAGGTCTGATACCGGCATCCCATATGTTCCCCCAAGCACAGCCAGGAATGGATTCCTGAGTACAGAATCAGGAGTAAGCCCTGAGCATCACTGGGTGTGACCCAAAAACCAAAAAACAACACAATAAATAAAAATCATGATAAGGGAATAAGACTGCAAATAACACATAGAACATAGGCCAAAAAAAGTTCTATAAGTGTATGAGTGTGTGTGTATATAGATACATTTTTAAATGTATGTGTATATATGTACAAGTAATATAAAATAATTAAAATTATATAATTACTTATAATATGTCTCACAGGTATGTTACTTATAACATATTACTTATAATATGTGCGATAGCAGGGGCTGGAGCGATAGCACAGCCACAGCGGTAGGGCATTTGCCTTGCACGCAGCCAACATGGCCAACCCGAGTTCGATTCCTCCGTCCCTCTCGGAGAGCCCGGCAAGCTACCGAGAGTATCTCGCCCACACGGCAGAGCCTGGCAAGCTCCCCATGACGTATTCGATATGCCAGACACAGTAACAACAAAGTCTCCAATGGAGACGTTACTGGGCCCACTCGAGCAAATCGACGAACAACGGGAGGGTCTTTACCTTTACCTTTTTATGTCTCACATACATAGGGTATGCAACATTTTAAAACATTTCAGATTGCTGGGAGTAACAGAATATTGTTTCTAAACCTTATTTCCAAAATAAATAAAATAAAAATTCTGAAAAAGAGAAGATCATTCTGAGGAACTTAATCCCTTCAACAAATGAGTGTTCCCCATTCCCACCTACGGATGACAGAAAGTCAAACATGGAGAAAGCAGGGCTCCCGGATTTCCCAGGCGGAGGACTCATTCTGGCCAAAACCTTACCTGAAAGGGGGAGCTCACACCTACATTACAGACCTTGAAACTAATCTCTCCCAAAGGGAATCTGCCCAGATAGACAGCAAGTTCAGGAGACGTGAGGGCAGAGAGGCCAGCCACCTTCCAACATCCCAGGACACTGTGGAGCAAGAAGCTCAGGGCCTCTCCTCAGAGGAAGTGCCCCAAACGCTTTTCTGGGTGTCCCCATATGAAATCTGACATCCAAGGGCTATTTCCCTATAACACAGCACTCACGATGGATCCATTGGGGTCTTTACACAAAAAAAGCTAAATGTGGGGGCCAGAGAGCGTAGTGGGTAACACAGTTGCCTTGCACTACGCTAAGAAACAGCAGCAGCGTTCTGTGGGGTTTAGATGGAAAAGATACTGTGGTTGTAAAGCCCCCCCCAAAAGCACAAAATGCAGTGACTGGCTATAGCCAAGCACCTGGAACACTGCCACATACTCACCCACGCCAGCCTCCCCATAGCCAAGGTGCGGGGGGATGATCACCGTCCGCTTCTCGCCAACACACATCTCTCGGAGACCCATGTCCATCCCCAGGACCACCTGCCCGGACCCCAGCACGATGTTGTAGGTTTTGCCTAGATTCCACCTGGAAAAGAAAAGCACCGAGGAGGCCCGGGTTAGATCATGGGCGCTGATGGAACACACTGCACTTCCTCAGAAACTCAGAACTCGTCTCATCAGGAGAGAACATCAACTCAAACTCAGCAAATGATCACCCAGGATCCTCAAGAGTTGCTGAGAAAATCAAGGTGAGACTATGAAGGACGGTCTCAGGATACCTGGGAGAGGAACTTTTTCACTTTTTTTATTTTTATTTTTTTAATTTTTAATGAATCACCTGAGATACAGTTGCAGACTTACAAACTTTCGTGCTTACATTTCAGTCATACAATGATCGAGTACCCATCCCTCTACCAGTGCCCATTCTCCACCACCAATGATCCCAGTATCCCTCCCATCTCCCCCCATTCCCCATTCCCCGTCTCTGTGGCAGGCACATTCCCTTTTACTCTCTCTCTCCTTTAGGGTGTTGTGGTCTGCAATGCAAGTATTGAATGGCCATCATGTTCGGTCTACAGTCTACTTTTGGAACACAGGGAGAGGGAATTTTAACAATGAGAGTATTTGGCAAAATGTTGTGGGGTCTTAGGGTCAAAGGTAGTAGGAGTTAGGCAGAGTACTCAGGTGGGAGCCCCTGCCGAGCACTTGGGGGGCCTGAGTTTGATCCCCGGCGCAGAACTGCAGAGCCCACAAAGCACCAAGAGGAACGCACACTAGAAACACCAGGCAGTAATATTTCAGTGTAATATAAAACTTAGTTTCAATGTATGTCATGGAAGCAAGCGTCTATTCCCATAGGTTCCCAAATCTATTGCTCCTTTACAGAAAATAAATCGGCTGCCCTCTCGCCCCCAATTTGCCTTCTTCAAGTCAACACACAGAAAACAACCCCCAATCACACCCAAGGTTGCTACCATCCAGTGCTGCCCCAGAATGGGATGGGTGGGGCAGTATCCCCCACTTTGAGAAAGACTGGTTCTATGAAATGCACACTAAACAATGAGGGGTGACATCAGAATATCAGGGTAGCACCACACTTGCCAACAACTGAAACGGGAAGGACTTGGATTTGGAATTGTATTGAAATGGAATGTCTGAAGTTTCCTTGTCTGCCTGGAGACCATGGCAGCTGCCTCCAGGGATGTTCTGAACAGAGAATACCACAAATGATGTATCATGCTCGCTCTGTGCAGCCCAAAGGGCTCCAGAAAGGCATGTTTTGTGGGCTTAAGTGCTGGGGTCTGCTTTTTGTTTGGGAGCCACACCCTACAGTGCTTGGGCTTATCCTGGCTCTACACTCAGGGATCACTCCTGGCAGGGCTCAGGGGACCATATGAGGTATTGAGAATCAAACCTGAGTCAGCCAGCTTCAAGGCCAGTGGCCTAACCACTGTACTATCTCTCTGGCCCCTGAAGTGCTAGCGTCTGTCACAAACCAACTCTTGAAAGTAACAGAGTTGAACGAGGGACATGACTCAAGTATCCTGGATGCCTGAGGAAACCCAGGGAAATGAAAGCGCCATCATCTCAGTCATGACTGAAACCTGTTTCCTAATTTCCATCATTCCTCTCACTTCCTCAAGGCCAGAGAAGAAAAGCTCCCGCCTCCGGTGTCCCCTTGGTCCCTCTTCACATTGACCCCAGAGCCAGGCTGGTTTTCTGGAAACAGCAAACCAAAACAGGGCTTGCTCTTGTGGTACCTGAGTTGAAGGAAAGAAAAGCAGCCAACTCTGGGCAAGACACCCCAGCCCGAGGCCTCGGCACCCCCCAGCCGCCCCACAATTGCTCCTTTGTCAGCCGCACACAGACCGCCTCTCACCGCCTGCCTCCGAGGCCCCTCAGAAGAGCCAGGCGCCCATGGAGCCACCACATAACAAATGTTTGTTCTTTCTGTCTGAAGGCAGATGGAACCCACACGAAGTGAATGTTCCCAACAAACACTGTTTTCCTGAGTCATCCTGACAACACCCTCCCTCCCCGCCCCCTGCCCGCTTCCTTCTCCTCAGGCCAGAGCTGCTCTCACACATCCTCCTTCACAGCTTGTGTGAAGAGATCCAGGAAGTGTCCACCTCCGCATCCTGCCCTCTACTGTCCCTGTTGTCCCCTCCGAGGCATGCGGGTACCACAGCACCACTTTGCCCTCACTGGGCGACCCGGCAGGCGCTCCCCTCCACCCCATTCCTGTCATCCCAGGTGTCTGGGGTGTCTCAGCCAGCAGAGTCAGCCCCCACTGCCCTTCCACGTAGGTCTCTGTGAGGAGGTAGCACTGGACAGGACAGGACTCAGCCTAGAGCCTTCGCTGGGCTTGTGTGAGGCCCCAGGGCTCCATCCCTGATGCACCCCCAGCCCCGCAGAAAAGGGAAGATCGGGTGAGTCCCGGGCCTCTGGGCAAATCTACCAAACACATGTGAAAGGACCAGAAGCCTGAGCCTGATACGAGAGGAACATCCCAAACACGCAGGGAAGGCCCCTTTGTTCCTCTGCCACCCCCACTTCCCCTCCTATTCCCTCTCGGCCTCAGGAAGCGGCAGCTGAGACCGTGAATGTGAGACCTAATGATACCGTGAATGTGAGCTGAAGCAGTGACAACAGGCCAAGGACCTGACAGAGGGTCTGGCCCTGAGGGTCGCAAACAGCGGTTCCCTCCGTCCGCAGACATCGGCAGCCCATGCTCCTGCCTGCTGCCCTCAGCCCTGAGGCCTCTGCTGGAAACCAGGTCCCTGAGAATCTGGGTGTCAGGGGGTGTCAGGGGTCAGTGTAGCTTGTGGGTTATATAATACACAACTGACCTTGTCTTGTATTCAGACCTCTCTGATCAGGATACTCTTTTAAATGGACAGAACAGGCAGCATTTGGGGCAGTGTGTCCAGTGGGTCTCTCTCTCTCTCTCTCTCTCTCTCTGTGTGTGTGTGTGTGTGTGTGTCTCTGTCTCTCTCTGTCTCTCTCTCTCTCTGTGCTTTCCCCATCACACTCTGTCACTTGAAGCTACAAGGCAGAAGGACAGGTAGACAAGAGAGAGGTCTTCCCCTAGTGAATGCAAAGACTGAGTAGGAGTGATAGTATACCCGGGAGGGTACTTACCCTGAATGCAGCCAACCCAGATTTCATCCCTGGCACCCCATATGGTCCTCTGAGCCTGACAGGAGTTATCCCTGTGTACAGAACTAGGAGTAAACCCTGAGCACCACCAAAATAAAAATACTTTATGGGGCCAGAGAAACAGTACAGCAGGCATGCAGCCAACCAAGGTTCTTCCCCTAGCACCCCATAGGGTCCCCTAATCTCAAAGGGGACCCTATAGGGTGATCTCTGAGCACAGAGTCAGGATTAAGCCCTGAGCACCACAAAACAAAATATCTAATTTTATTTAAGCTACCGAGAGTATCTTGCCCGCATGGAAAAGCCTGGCAAACTACCCGTGACGTATTCAATATGTCAAACACAGTAATAACAAGTCTCACAATGGAGATGTTACTGGGCCTGCTCGAGCAAATTGATGAACAATGGGAGACAGTGCTACAGTGCTATATATTTATTTATTTTTGCTTTTTGGGTCACACCTGATGATACACAGGGATTACTCCTGGCTCTGCACTCAGGAATTACACCTGGCGGTGCTCAGGGGACCATATGGGATACTGGGAATCGAACCCAGGTCGGCTCTATGCAAGGCAAACACCCTACCTGCTGTACTATCATTCTAGTCCCCAAAATATTTAACTTTTATGATGCTATGTCAGGAGCACAAAAGGGATGTATGGTGTAGATGTATTTTAAAAAACACCAAAAAGTGCTCATGATCAATTATCACACCAAAAATGAGGCTATTTTTTTTTCTTTTTGGATAACACCTGGTGATGCTCAGGGGTTACTCCTGGCTCTGCACTCAAGAATCACTCCTGGCGGTGCTCGGGGGACCATATGGGATGCTGGGAATCGAACCCGGGTCAGCCGCATGCAAGGCAAACGCCCTACCCGCTATGCTACTGCTCCAGCCCCCAAATGAGGCTATTATAATACCTGACTCATCACCCAAAGATCCAGCTGGACACACGGTAAATGCCTTTCACCTCTCTCATACTAATTTGTGCTATAGGGTCTACTCGTGTATTTTCAGATTCCTGTCAACCAGCTGATGTTTATGAAAAAACGTTCTCCTAGTGTTAGGCTCTGGACCAAGAGTTAAATATGGATCGACTCTGTTGGGGTTCCTAGAGGTGTTCTAACCTGCTACTTTACTTCCAGGGGCAGAATCAAAAATGAATAAATACAAGGCAGCAATGCATCAAAAGGAGCTGCCCACAGGAGCTACGGCAGGTGATTCTGCCAGGAATCAAGGAAAGATCTGAAGAAAACAGGGGCCAGAGCAATAGTATGGAGGGTGAGGTGCAGGCCTTGTACGCGGCCAAACCGGGTTCAATTCCCCAACATCCCATATGGTCTCCTGAGCACAACCAGGAATGATTCCTGAGCCAGGAGTAACCCTGAGCATCACCGGGTGTGTCCCAAAACAAAAAATAAAATGAAATAAAAGAAAAAAGAAAAAAGACAAACCAAGTTCAGGGCAGGAAAGGCCGCAGCCCTCGAGGCAAGGCAGGCCACAGGATGGTGGGGCAAGCCCGTGGGGCTGCCTCGCGGGGGGGGGGGGGGGGGGGTTAAGTTTTCACTCTACCCATAAAGAGAGTGTCACAGGAGCAAGGCAAGTGACAGGGGACACCCACCAATGAGTGGGAGTAAAAGCAGTTGGTCAACATGACCCACAGGTGAGGATGGGGTCACATGGCACCGCTGGGGCCCCTCCCTTACGTGGAATCCAGCAGAGTCCCGTCCAGTAGCGAGGCATTGTAGTGGTACTTGAGGAAATCCCCCTTCTTAGTCAGCACTGAGCAGTCGGGGGGCTTGTAGCGGGAGGTAATGCTGATGGAGTCAGACGGGTTGTGGAAGTCAATCACGTGGACGTCAAACACCAGTACCGCTGAGCCAGGGATGTTCCCTGCAGGGAAAGCGACAGACACCACGGGGTTAGCGGGCCCCAAGGTGCCAGGTGTGGGCGCCCACCCGCCTGCAATCTAGAGAACAAGGCTGGAAGCCATTCGAAGCACCCAAACCCACACTTTACACATGGGGAAACTGAGGCACTGTGTTCTACAGGGTCCTACTGTCACTTGGCCTCATTTGGGCCAGAACCCAGAACAATGGACTGCTGCCCCAGGAAGGGTTAAACCCGAAGACAGACAGTGAGTCCCTTAGAGATGAGAAAAACAAAGCACCATCAAATGAAGGCCCAGACCACGCCAAGGGGTGAGCTGAGAACAAGAGCGGAAGAGGCTGTACAGTGGGCAGCGTGCTTGCCCTGCATTCTGTCAGCCAGGTGCAACTCCCCATCCAGTCCCCCGACCCCCCGAGGCCACCAGGAGTGACCCCTGGTAGCAGAACGAGGAGGAGTAAGCCCTGAGCACCAACTGGCATGGACAAAAAATCACTCCAGTTTCCCAGGAAGGAGGAAGAGGGCAAAGGGCCAGTCCTGGGGAGAGGAGAGAGCTGGACAGACGGCAGCTCTCTACCTTCAAGGCCAAGAGCATCAGGGTTCATGGAGGCCTTCCAAGCAAGCCGACTTGTTTCAACAAAGTTATTATACACGCTTCATCGCCTCACCTTGGAGAGCACTACTCCACACCAGACCCATGTCTCCAGTGTACAAAACCACATTTCCCCGTATGTGACCTCAGGAAATCCCGCAGTGATCTGTAAGCAGGTGCCGCTGTGAGTCCAGGCCATCACACCTGACGAAACTCCACGCCAGCCCCTTGGGGGTGCAGCACAGAGGGTGAATGCTGCCGTTGGCTTCCGTTGTTCAACAGCCCCCAGATGATTTCAGGAAAGTTTGGAGGTAGAAATGCTATCAGTAGCACTCCTCATAGGAAGAGCAGTCTAATATCTAACCAGCATTTTATGAGGAAGAAAATGGAGGAAGCCTCAGTCACTCACACCCTGCCTTGTCCCCCACTGCCCCCGCTATGCATTTTTCTGTTTCTTTGCAGAGAGAGAGAGAGAGACAGACAGACAGACAGACAGACAGACAGACACACACACACACACACACACCACACACCACAGGTCCGGACACTCAATAAGTGATTTATAAGAACTACTTTATTTAGTAATTTTAACCCCACGTTCTCAATCTGCAGAAGAGTAAATTGAGGCACAGATTTGGGGGCTTGTCGAAATGACAACACAGGCTGCCTCTAGCACAGTCCACTGGAGTCCTGTGTTCCAGCTGCTGATGTAGTGGTGACAGGCAGGAATGTCCCTGTGGGAACAGGTACTGACCCAGAAAGTGGCTCAGAGCCAGCGCTGAGGCCAGCACTGAGACAGGGGGGCAGTGGGGCCAGCACACAGCTTACTCAGGCTCCGCTGCCCATTAAAGTCAACAGGGGATCGAGTGAGAGCAATAGTACGGGGGGGGGGGGGGGGAGGGCATCAGCCTTGCACTTGGCTGACCAGGGTTCGATCCCCGGCATCCCGTAGGGTCCCCCGAGCACTGCCAAGAGTACTTCCTGAGTGCAGAGCCAGGAGTAATCCCTAAGCATCGCTTAGGGATGCTGACTATGATGCAAAAACAAACGAACAAAAAGCTTCAATGAGAACAGTCTGGGTACGACTGAGGACGTGATGCTAAGTCAGAGAGACAACAGCAAGCACTGTCTCCTATCACTTCTATGTAGAATCTGAACCCGTCAAAGCCACAAGGAAAGGAGGGATACTTTGGGGTTTTTTTTGTTTTCTTTTGTTTTTTTTCTTTTTGAGTCACACCTGGCAATGCTCAGGGGTTACTCCTGGCTCTGCAGTGAGGACTGACTCCTGGCGGTGCTCGGGGGACCATATGGGATGCCAGGAATCAAACCCGGGCCGGCCTCGTGCAAGGCAAACACCCTACCCGCTGTGCTTTTGCTCTGGCCCCAAGAAGGGATTACTTGAGGTGGGAGTGGGGGTGGGGAACTGGAGAGGTTAAGGGTGGAAAATGGCAACTGGAAGATAAATAAGCCCTAGAGATATCACACGCAGTACAGTAAGACAGTTAGCAACACTGCATTATCAACATTAAACATACCAACAGACATCAATTATTCCCACCACAAAGAAGAAATGGCATACGACCAGGCTCTCGCCAACACAATGGTGGCATTCCGAGTGCAATTCATAAATGCATAAGGTCAGCCTGGGTGCACCTTGAATTAACAGTGCTTGTCAAATGTATTTCAATAAAAATTTGTTTTGGGGGTGGCAGGGCAGGGATAAATAGGTTTGAACTCACGCCCTGAGATCTCAAAGGAGCTAGGACAACGTGGGACGAGAGGACTTTGCCATGCTGGTCTTAGTGACTTTAAGATGCTGGTTTGGCTATGTTTAGGCAAAGCTAAGAATCCATGAAGGAACGGGCAGGGAAGGGACTGAAAACAAGATTTCACCCTGAAGCAGAAAAAAACCAGTCTGTGGCTGTGGCAGCAGCTGAGCAGTCCCCAGGCACAAAAAAACCCAGATGCTGAGGGCAGCGGGGCTGAGAGGAGCGAGGGCTGAGGGCAGCGGGGCTGAGAGGAGCGAGGGCTGAGGGCAGCGGAGCTGAGGGCAGCAAGGCTGAGGGCAGCAGGGCTGAGGGCAGCGGGGCTCAGGGGAGCAGGGCTGAGGGCAGCAAGGCTGAGGGCAGCAGGGCTAAGGGGAGCGGGGCTGAGGGCAGCGGGGCTGAGCGCAGTGGGGCTGAGGGCAGCAGGGCTGAGGGCAGCGGGGCTGAGGGCAGCAAGGCTGAGGGCAGCAGGGCTAAGGGGAGCGGGGCTGAAGGCAGCGGGGCTTAGTGCAGTGGGGCTGAGGGCAGCAGGGCTGAGGGGAGTGAGGCTGAGGGGAATGAGACTGAGGGCAGCAGGGATGAGGGGAGCAGGGCTGAGGGCAGCAGGGCTGAGGGCAGCAGGACTGAGGGCAGCAGGGCTGAGGGCAGTGGGGTTGAGGGCAGCAGGGCTGAGGGCAGCAGGGCTGAGGGCAGCAGGGCTGAGGGCAGCGGGGCTGAGGGCAGCAAGGCTGAGGGCAGCAGGGCTAAGGGGAGCGGGGCTGAAGGCAGCGGGGCTTAGTGCAGTGGGGCTGAGGGCAGCAGGGCTGAGGGCAGCAGGGCTGAGGGCAGCGGGGCTGAGGGCAGCAAGGCTGAGGGCAGCAGGGCTAAGGGGAGCGGGGCTGAAGGCAGCGGGGCTTAGTGCAGTGGGGCTGAGGGCAGCAGGGCTGAGGGGAGTGAGGCTGAGGGGAATGAGACTGAGGGCAGCAGGGATGAGGGGAGCAGGGCTGAGGGCAGCAGGGCTGAGGGCAGCAGGACTGAGGGCAGCAGGGCTGAGGGCAGTGGGGCTGAGGGCAGCAGGGCTGAGGGCAGCAGGGCTAAGGGGAGCAGGGCTGAGGGCAGTGGGGCTGAGGGCAGCGGGGCTGAGGGCAGTGGGGCTGAGGGCTGAGGGGAGTGAGGCTGAGGGCAGTGAGGCTGAGGGCAGCAGGGCTGAGGGAAGCGAGGCTGAGGGCAGCAGGGCAAGGCTGAGGGCAGCAAGGCTGAAGGCAGCAGGGCTGAGAGCAGTGAGGCTGAGGGCAGCGAGGCTGAAGGGAGCAGGGCTGAGGGGAGCAGGGCTGAGGGGAGCGGTGCTGAGGGCAGCAGGTCTGAGGGGAGCAGGGCTGAGGGGAGTGAGGCTGAGGGCAGCAAGGACTGAAGACAGCAGGACCAAGGGAAGTAAGGCTGAGGAGAATGAGGCCAAGGGCAGTGAGCACTAAGCACAGAGCAGCTTATCTGAGCCATCCATGTTCCACAGACTTCTGACAAAGGAACCAACAATAGGCCTATTTCAAAGACCATATTCACTGGTCCTTAGACTTACAAGGGTCACTAGGTTCAATGGTCCACGAGTGAGCAGAAGAGGCTGAGGAAACACGTCACCATGAAGGCGACCGGGTGAAGGCCAAGGCTGTGAATGAAGCCCTCGGGGATGCCCAGCACAAGGACCCACAGGCATCGGGTGGATCAGACACCGAGCCTCACACACACACTGGGATGCAGTCCTTGCCTGGTGCTGAGGGGATGCTCCCACCCGAGCCTACCACTTTGCCAGCTCTCACACCAGCCGGCAGGCACCTGAGAGCTGTCTGCTCCCAGGCGCAGGGCTCTGTGTAGGAGACCAGAACTTGCGCCAATTAGCAAGAGCGTCCAGGAAGCCACTGAGCAGCCAGTGTTTGTCTGAGCGGGAAGTGGCATACACCAATGAAGGCATCAACCAGGACGTAAGCTACTGCGGTCTGGGAGTTTTGTGTCTTTTCTCTCTCCCAAATACCGATCTAGCTGACTCACGAAGGCACTCAAGTGAGTCTCAGACAAAAACATGCAGTTTCAGGAGCAGTTTCAGGACTGCAGGTAGGGCATTTGCCTTGCATGCAGTTGACCCGGGTTCAGTTCCCGGCACCCCAATCTGGTCCCGAGCCCGCAAGGACTGATACCTGAGTATCACAAGGAGTGAGCTCAAGGCAAGCTCTGAGCACCACAAGGTGTGGCCTCAAAACTGAAAAAAGAAAAGAAAATATGCAGTTCTCTGGACCTTTAAATATGAAGACCAAACCTTGAGCCCAGCTGCCCCGGCCACTATCCCCTCCCAGTCAATTCATGCTCTGCCTTCCACAAAGAACTGAGAGTGTGGGAGTAAGTGTTGGCCAGCAAACGGGTGAAGTATAATGCAACCGTGCATAGTGGCCCCAACACCAGGCTCCTGCCTGAATAAACCCTGATTAATGCAGTCACAGTCAGACCATTTCCTCCACCACAATGTATCCTCGGGAAGAGATTCCAATGACAATTAATAAAGGCTGCCCCCGGGTTTCTGGGCATTGTGGCTGGTGCCCTCAGTTCTCCATACATGGGCATCAAGAGTCCAGCTGAACAGAAATTCCATCTTCTCGTCTAAGGCACAGGAGGACGGCAAAGGTCTGGGTCTAATTCCGGCTCCATCATGGGTTCTTCACGGTGGTCTCGGGCCAAAGACTCAACATCTCGGGCCTGATCTGAACTAAGAATGCTTTCAAGGTTCCAATCACCTAGGGAAGTTTCTGGCCTAGTGGGATAAAAAGGAGCTATCTTCCTCACTTTGCTCCTTGCTAAGAGAACCTGGAAAGTAATTTGAAACTGGGGAACAGAAAACCATACAGGACACAATAGTCTCCTCAACCCAAGAGCAGACATTCTCTACCCAGCCAGCAGAACACAGCAGACAGCAGAGCCCAGCCAGAAGGGCCCCACCTGGCCTCCACCAACCACTCAGAGGATGGTGCTACAGGAAAGCGCCACTCACTGAGGCCTCAGAAGCCACCACCAGCCACATTCCACTCCTCTCCCACAATGACCTCTGCTCTGTGAGTGTGGGGGAAGGCAACAGACCTCCCCAGAGTGCCAACACCCGCTGAGGTCGGAGCCTCGGTGATCACTGTTCTGGCCCAGGCAATTCCCTAAGATTCAAGGCTCGGGACCGGACAATAGGACAGCAGGGAGGGCATTTGTCTTGCACATAGCTGACCCAAGTTCGATCCCTGGCTTTCCATACAGTCCCCGGAGCACTGCCAGGAGTGATCCCTGAGTGCAGAGCCAGGAGTCAGACCTGAACACTGCCAGATATAGCACTGTAGCACTGTTCTCCCATTGTTCATCGATTTGCTCAAGTGGGCACCAGTAACGTCTCCATTGTGAGACTTGTTGTTATTGTTTTTGGCATATCAAATACACCACAAGGAGTTTGCCAGACTCTGTCGTGCGGGCGGGATACTCTCAGTAGTTTGCCAGGCTCTCCGAGAGGGACGGAGGAATCGAACCCCGGTACATCGCTGGATATGGCCCAAAAAACAAAAGGCTCAGCAGCAAGGAGCCTGTCTCTCCCTGCAGCACATCTGATTCATGAGGCAGCCTCATGCCCAGAAAATTTATGAGCCCTCAGACACTTCCTAGAGCCTTCTTTAATTCTTCACAGACTCTGTCTCATACTTGATAGAAAGCCAAAAGAAGGGAAGACTTTAAGCAAATGTTTTTCATCAATATAATCTTTTCAGAGAAAGGAACTCTTAGTCCCAAGGGATCATCAACAGGAATTTCTCAGAAAGTATGTGTCTATTTCTGTATGTATTTGGCCAAGAGTAGAGATTTACATGCTACACAAACAACAGCGCCTCACATGCTGGATAAACAGGACATGAACCATGTGACTCAACGGGCCTTAAGTGTGATCTATGACATTTTAAATCATGGGGAAAATAATATCATTCCATGGTGCACACAAATCCCAGTCAACCTGATGTTTCTTAGATTATCTGGAGTAACCTTACCTGGAAAATTCCATGAGATCCATCAGGAGAAGTCGTAAAAAGGCTGACCTAATGAATGTATTCAGGCAGAACTCCATGATCAAAAAGAATGTAAAAGCCAAATAAAAAGTGCCATTAGATATTCTTAAGCAAGCTCATAAAAAAAAAATGAGAAAAAATTATGAAAATATGATTTGGGATACTATGTAGCTTTAAAACTATCTACTGTCATATACGTTGTCCATAACAAATCAGGTAAAAGAGAAATTGTCACTTGTCATTTGTCATCCCATTGATCGATTTGCACAACCGGTGCCAGTAATGATTCCATTCATCCCTGTTGTGTGCTAGCATAGCCCAATGGTGTATTGGAAGCTCTTTCAGGGTGAGGGGAATGAGGCCCGTTATTGTTACTGTTTTTGGCATATCAACTATGCCACGGAGATGATCCCAATTTTGCCAGTGAGTGTGGGTAGATAAGTATTTTCTTTTATTTATACAGAATCACATATTTACTCAAAAGTATAGAGGGGAGGGCACTTGCCTCCATGTAGCTCACCCAGGTTCGATCCCCAGCACCTCACATGATCCCCTGAGCCCTACCATGTGTGATCCCTGAGTGCACAGTCAGGAAAAGCTCTGAGCTTTGCCAGGTGTGGCCCACAATTATTTTTTTTCCTTTTTGAGTCACACCCGACGATGCACAGGGCTTACTCCTGGCTTTGCACTCAGAAATTACTCCTGGCAGTGCTCGGGGAACCATATAGGATGCTGGGAATCAAACACGGGTTGGCCGCATATAAGGCAAACACCCTATCCACTGTGCTATCGCTCCAGCCCTGGCCCACAATTTTTTTTTTTTATGTTTTTATATATATATTTTTTTTTGGCCCACAATTTTTTAAAAAATAAACAGAAGCCCAGAAGAATAGTCACCCCATGGTTCTCTTAGTTTCATATTTCTGCTACCAAAAATGACCAAAACATGGGGGCTCAAAAGACCCCACAGTCTTGGAGGAGGTGGCAGCAGGACTATGTTCCTCCTGGACTCTGTAGAGAGACCGTCCCTGGCCTTCCTGTCCTGAGATGGCCTTCACTCTCTGCCTCCACCTTCTCAGCCAGCAACTTGAAATCTTCCTGCTCGAACCTCCTGCTTGGCCTCCACTAAGACTCTATAGGACAGCAGAACCCAGGGACGAGCCAGATGATCTCCCAGGTGAGAGGCCTCACCTGAGCCACATCTGCAACCCCCTCGACCACGTGACCCATATCACAGTGCTGGGAAGAGATGGACCTCTTTGGGGCCACTCTCTACCCTTCCTGTTAGCTGTGTCCCTCCTGGGTGGTGGGCCTTACGGTTTTTGCTTATATGCACTTTCTTTCTCTCAAGTCAACACGTATTATCTGTCATTTTTTAAAGGAACATGGCTATTAAGACAAGGTTGAGGACAGAGCAGAGGGAGAAGGCCTTGCATGCACCCTGGCCCTGGTTCAATACGCCAGCAACACAGAATCCCTCAAGAACCCCCAGGCAAGCCCTGAAGGCCCTGAGTGACCCTGGGGTGGGCCTGCTGGCCCCCGGCACCACAAAGACCAAGCAGCAGTGCACTCTCCAACCTGCACCAAACTCTGCAGCCTTGTGGTCAAGAATCACCATGGGTGACCCTGAGCCCTGAGATCTCAGGAGGCCCACCACTATAAATAAATACAACTAAAGGAAATTTGCTAAAAGATTCTGCATTGAGTAATTTTAAATGAGTATATATTAGGCCCGGAGCAACAGTACAGCAAGTAGGTGCTTGTCTTGCATACAGTTAACCTGAGTTTGATTGCCGGCATCCCATATGGTCCCCTGAACTCCACCAGGAATAATTTCGAGTGCAGAGCCAGGAGTAACCCCTGAATATTGCCGGGTATGATCCAAAAACACAAAACAAGGTAAATTTTATGGTATGTAAATTATAACCCAATGAAACTGCCATTTAAAAAGCAAAACAGGCTGGAGAGATGGGTTGAAGGGATGGAGCACACACCTGGCTTGGATAGGGCCTGGTTTGGCCTCCAGCATGGCCCCCCCGAGGACCACTGGGTTTAGGCCTGGTAGTCGCAAACACCTCCGAGAAGGCCCCCTTAACAGCAAAAACAAGGGGCAGAGAGAGAATACAGAGAGTAGTTGTTTGCCTAGCATACGGCTGACCCGGGTTTGATCCCCAGCATCCCATATGGTCCCCTGAGCACTGCCAGGAGTGATCCCTAAGTGCAGAGCCAGGAGTCACCCCTGAGCACTACCAGTGTGGCCCCCCAAACAAACAGCAATAGAAAAACAAAAAGGATGATATATGTTCTTGAAAACGGCCTACCCAAAAAAGGGGCAGTAACAGAAAACAACCAGACACCAAAAACTGGTGGATTGTGGAGCTCATTTGACTCTACACAGATCTAAAATTTTTGAAAGGAAAACAAAAATGTCCCCAGTGTGTTGTGTGTGTGTTTGTGTGGTGTGTGTGTGTGTGGGGGGGGGGATTGGAGCGATAGTAGATCGGGTAGGGCATTTGCCTTGCACAAGGCCGAGCTGGGTTCAATCCCCAGCATCCGATATGGTCCTCCAAGGCCTCCAAGAATCATTTCTGAGTGCAGAGCCGGAAGTAACCCCTGTGCATCACCAGGTGTGGCCCCCAAACCAAAACAAAACAAACAAAATATGGTTCCAGGAAGACCAGGAGAAATGAGAGCCCCTGAGAAACTAAGGCTCTCTGGGAGTTGCGTCCTGGAGCAAGACTCAGTTTTTACTCCTGTGTCTCCCTAAAGATGCCCATGGGGCTCACCTTGGGGCTGTTGGCACTCTGTCCCCCTATAGACGCACGCGGGGCTCACTCACCTCTGCCTTCCTCCCCGTAGCCCAGGTGCGGGGGCACCACGATCCTGCGCTTCTCTCCAATGCAAACCCCGAGCAAGCCTTCATCCATGCCAGCAATCACATAGCCCTGCCCGATGTAGGTGTCATAGGTGCGGTTCCGGGAGTAGCTGGGAAAGAAGAAAGAGGTCAGGGGCACGGCCAGCATAGGCCGGGGGCATGCAGCGTCTGCTCCATGAGAGGGCCATGACTGGGACACGGGCACCACAACAGCTGAGCAAGCTGGTAGTGGCCACCTGCAGACACGCCCAGTGGAGAGCCCCCAGCCCTCGGGGGCCTGCAACGAGGAAACAACTCTGGGCAAGAGTGACCGTACAGCGGGGATGGCATCTGCCTGGCTGCAGCCAAACTAGGCTCGATCCCTAGTACAGGGGCTGCAGCCAGCCCACAGGTCCATCTGCCTGGCACCAGGCCCAGCTGACAGGACCCAGAGCAGGGGGTGTCGGCTGGAAAGTGAGGATAAGTCACACCTATAGGCTCTCAAGAGGAGAGCTCATGCCCACGTGGACAGAAATACATGAGGGGCCGAAAAAGAACACATGTGCTGAGACTGCCAGTCCTGCCCAGGCCTGGACAGATGCTCCCTGCCCAATCTCTGACCACCATGGACCTCTGGCAGGAGTGTGGATTTCCCCCTGTGCCACCACAGGGAGGCACAAACGTTCTGCTCTGCAGAGGACCCCTGAGACTGCCACAAAGGCAGTGGCTACGGGGAGAGCAGCGATCCATTCCCTGGAACCCGAACGCTCCACCTTGAAACCATCCAACTGCATCTCCAGACATGCCGGGAGCCGCCACCACCCAGAGCACAGACAGAAAGCTGGTGTGGAAAGAGCCACGCAGGCCTGCCGCGGCCAAGGAATGACCGCCTGGGGGAAATGCCAGCGGGGAAGGGGGGCTCAGTCCCATCCGAGAGCGCAGAGTGCAGAGAAATGATGCTCCAAGGATGCTCCACCCCCAGGAGGTGGGCATGGCCTGGCTGTGAAGAAGTGGCCCTTTCCCCAGGCCCGGAAGACAGCTCACAGGGCTGGCGCATGCTCGAGCCTGGTCTGCCTGAGGTGCTGCCCCAGCACTTCCCCACTCGGCCCCAGGGGCCACCAAGCACCTCCCAGAACATTAATACAAAACAGAAGAGGTTCTGGGTAGGGAGCGCTAGTGTGGCAGTGATGGCATTTGCCTTGACCACAGCCAACCCAGGCTTGATCCCCAGCATCCCACAGGGCCCCCTGAGCACCTCCAGGAGAGATTCCTGAGCACCGCAGGGTGTGCCCCAAAATGCAAACAACAACAACAAAAACAACAATAACAAATCACTGGAAAAAGAACAAGAATGGTGACAGGGGAGGATACAGCAAGCTCTCATTCCTGTACTAAAACTCAGTGGGGGACATTGTTTATGAATTTCATCATACGTGTATGGAAGACCAACAAAATTAGCAACACTGGTTCCCTGCGGAAGGAGGAGCTGGGTACTGAAGGACGAAGAGAAGGCAAATCTTCCACATATACCCGTTTGTGTGTACGCATTGGGGGCGGGGTGGTGGGGTGTGTGTGTGTGGGGGGGTGTTTGCTGGGCCACACCCAGCAATTCTGCGGGATCACTCCAGATGTGCTTGGGGATGGAGCCCAGACAGGCTGCAGGCAAGGCGGGCATCTTACCCACTGGCCCCATCATTAGATTCCTTTTAACACTTTTTACTTTTTTTTAAAAAAAAACACTTTTTATACCATGCCAATAAGCAGGGGGAGAAATGAGACTAAATGGGGGTGTGTGTGGAAGGGGGCAGGGGGGAATTATGTTTAAAAAAGAAACGGAAAGGCCAGAGGAATAAGTAGAGCAGGGAGGGAGGGCGTTAGCCTTGCACACCACTGCCCCGGGTTCTATTCCCATCATCCCACATGGTCCCCACCAGGAATGACTCCTGAGTGCAGAGCCAGAAGTAACCCCTGAACACAGCCCATGTGGCCCATAAAAACATAAGCCAAACAGAAAAAGAAAAGAGGAGCTAGAGAGATGCTTAAGGGGCTGAATCCTATTAAAAAATCCCTCCCTCCCACTTAAGCCTCCTAAAAAGCCTTGCATGGTTTAGTCCTGAGTTTAGTCACCAGAACCCTATGGTCCTCCCAGCCTTGGAGCACCGGTAGCCCTGGGCCCCCAGCACCATGAGGCCCGGCTGTGAACTATCTGACCCAGCTGGCCAAGCTCTTCAGAGAGTAGCCCAAAACACCGGAAGACCCAAAAAATAAGTGCACGGGAAAAACTAGTTCCTACTATGTAAATAAAACAGCTATAATAGCTAAAGGGGTGACACTGGCCAAGAGTAGCTAGATTAAGGGGGGAGATTCTGGGTAACCCCCAGGCCCAGACAGTTGGACGCTGAGTGTGGCCAGGGACCCTAAGCCTGAGCTGCAGCACACCACAGACGAAGCTCTGTCAGGAAGCTGCAGGGGCCTCAGCACTGCTGGCTGTGGTCCCACAAAAATATTCCAGAGAGGCTGGAGCGATAGCACAGCGGGTAGGGCGTTTGCCTTGCATGCGGCCGCCCCGGGTTCGATTCCCAGCATCCCATATGGTCCCCTGAGCACAGCCAGCGGTAATTCCTGAGTGCAGAGCCAGGAGTAACCCTTCTGCATCGCCAGGTGTGACCCAAAAAGAAAAAAAAAATTTTCGGACATAGACTCAAATGTATATAAAGAATCTCTCCAGGCCAGAGAGGCATCACAGCAGATAAAGTCCTTGCCTTTCACACTGCCAACCAGGTTCAATCCCCAGCACCCCATATGGTCCCTGAGTTATTCCTGAGTGCAGGGCCAGGAGAAAGGGCTGAGCATCACTGGATGTGGCTCAAAAACCAGAAAAAAAATAGAATTTGGGATATAACAAAAATTATATATCAGATGAGTAAGGAAAGGAGAGGTATTCAATAAGGGGTGTTTATTGGAAACACTAGCTTAGCCATCTGGTAAAAAATTAAGTTAGATGCTTACTATTACACTGAAGAGCACAGCAACATCCAGATGGATTAAAGATTTAAACCATTTATGAGCATACAGAGAAGCTGGAAGCTTTGCCTCGAGTTGGTGAAAGTGAGAGAAATAAATGGAAAATCATTACATTTCATTTACAGTCCTGCATTGATTCATTTGTACAATGAGAACAAAATACTTTTCTAAACACTCTAATAAAGAAAAAGTAATTCTAATAAAGAAAAAGAAAAACATTCTAATTTAAAAAAAAGTCAAACCATTCAAAAAAGCATAAGGTAAATATGCTCAAATATCTAGGAAGAGTTTTTATTAGCCAGTCATCAAAGAGAATATACAAGTATTTACATTAGAGTAAAGGAAATCAAAAAAGAGAAGAGAGACGTGTTTAACCACATAAAAAGTTTACATTGAATACATCTAAAATCATAACCATAAAAGTTAAAAGTGAATATGCTTCCAAAATATAGAATTCATCATGAGTTAATATCTTTAGTACAGAGCTATCTTCAAAGCATCCAAGACAAATACCGTCACCTTCCTGTATGGAACAGGAAGGTTCACTCTGCAAGTCTGGGTCCCCCTTGAACACATCTCTCACTTACTTGTCTGTTTCCTCACTTGCTTATTTCCACTCTGAAGAAGACTGTGTTCGCACTCGAACTTGTACTTCACTTTTTGTCTTCCCTCACATCTTTCTAAATAAATTTCAACTAAAACTTTCTTACTTCACAAAAAAAAAAAAATCCAAACGAAAACAGTATGGATGATCCCCAAAAAATAAGAAATTGAGGAGCGGCTCTCTGGCACAGCCACAGCCCCAGAGGTACATGGACCTAATTCAAAACCCAGCAGCTTCTGGCAGAAAGGTATGAGCCAGCAGTGACGGGGCAACTGCGGCCTCATGGGATGGGGGGCCTTCTTGCCCTGCTGAGACCACGAGTTGCCCCCCCCCACCCACGAGCAGCTCTCCAGCACAGCCATGGTCCCAGAGACACACAGACCTAATTCGACAACCAGCAGCTTCTGGCAGAAAGGTGAATGGACTATGAATTAAGCTATGGCGCCGTGCCCTACCCTCAGGAGGGAAAGGGTGTCTACCTCTTCCGCCTTCCCCCCCACCTCCTGCAGCATGGTGGCCACCACCTCAGAGCTTATTGGACAGCCAGGTATGAGCTGGCAGTGACGGGACAACTGCGGCCTCATGGGATGGGGGGGGGGGGGAACCGGCATGTCCTTCTTGCCCTGCTGAGACCAAGAGTTGCCCCCCACGAGCGGCTTTCCGGCATGGCCATGGACCCAGAGGCACACAAACCAATCTCGGAACTATTCGGCTTTTGGCAGAAATCCCTCCAGACTTAATCAGTAAAATATCAGAAATCCAAAATCATATGGTCTGCATAACCAGCAATAGAAAACAAATTATTTCACGATGCCTTTTCAGCAGGTTTGATTGTTGGGGGGAACTTCCAGATAATAATGGTGCATCTTTTGTCAAAATAATGAATGTAATCAAAGTAAAGAGAGAATTAAGTGGAAATTATCTGCCTCACAGGCACGGGGAGGGGTGGCATGGGGGGTATATTGGGGTTCTTGGTGGTGGAAAATATGCACTGGTGAAAGGATGGGTGTTTGATCACTGTATGACCGAGACTAAAACCTGAAAGCTTTGTAGCTGTTCTCACGATGATTCAATAAATAAATTTAAAAAAATAAAATACAAAAAAAATTAGAGTAAATAAATTAAAAAAATAAAATACAAAAAATCCCGTTTGACCCAGCAATACCACTCCTGGGAATATATCACAGAGATGCAAAAAAGTAGAAATTATATCTGCACTCGTATGTTCATTGCAGCACTGTTTACAATAGCCAGAATCTGGAAAAAACTCTAGTGCCCAAGAACAGATGACTGGTTAAAGAAACTTTGGTACATCTACACAATGGAATACTATACAGCTATTAGAAAAGATGAAGTCATGAATTTTTCATATAAGTGGATCAACATGGAAAGTATCATACTAAGTGAAATGAGTAAAAAAGAGAGAGACAGACATAGAAAGATTGCACTCTTCTGTGGAATATAAAGTAACAGAATGAGAGACTAGCACCCAAGAATAGTAGAGAGATAAGTACCAGGAGGTTTGCTCCACAGCTTGGAAGCTGGCCTCACATGCTGGAGGAAAAGGCAGCTCAGATACAGATGGAAACACCAAGTAAAGTGTGGTTGGAGGACCCGCTTGGGAAGGGAGATGTGTACTGAAAATAGACTATAGATTGAACATGATGGCCACTCAATATCTCTATTGCAAACCACAACACCCAAAAGGAGAGAGAGAACAAAAGGGAATGCCCTGCCACAGAGGCGGGTGGGGGTGGGGGGACAATGGAGTGGGGGTGGGAGGGATACTGGGAGCAGTGGAGGTGGAAAATGGGCACTGGTGGAGGGATGGGTACTCGAGCATTGTATGACTGAAACACAAGCACGAAATTTTGTAAGTCTGTAACTGTACCTCATGGTGATTCACTAATTAAAAAAAAAAAAAGGATTTTCACACAAGAATTAATTTATAATTTTTTTTTCTTTTTGGGTCACACTGGTGATGCATAGGGATTACTCCTGGTTCTGCATTCAGGAATTACTCCTGGGGGTTGTTCAGGGGACCATATGGGATGCTGGGAATCGAACCCGGGTTGGCGACATCAAGGCAAACACCCTACCCGCTGTGCTATTGCTCCAGCCCTAATTTATAATTCTTGTGTGAAAATCTTTGAAAAAAATTCAGCACTGAAAAAAACTTCAGCACTGACAGTTTCCAGGTCACGCATGGCCCCACCAGTGGCTGAGCACACGTAATCAAATGCAGATGTTCTCAGAAGTGAAGGCCAAAGTCTTTTTCCTACCTGGAGTCAAAGAAGGTGCCATCCAGGAGTGTCCCGTTGTAATGGTACCTGAGAAAGTCCCCGGTCTGACTGCGCCGCTCACAGTCCCCGGGTACCACCTTATTCTCAACAGAGATGCCATCCTTGGGGTTGTGCAGGTCCAGCAAGGCCACATCGAACACCAGCGAGGCCTGCCCAGGAATGTCTTTCCCTAGAGAGGAACCGAGGAAGGAGATGGAACCAGGAACAGGGGGAGAAACTCAGCCCACCCCGTGCTGGGGTGACCCAACCCTTGAAATCGTCCAGCCAGAGACACATATGTTCCTTCATGTCCTGGGCAGACAGTCCTCATCTCACCAGGGTTTCCTACATGAGCTCAGAGGGTTAATTTGAAGTCTGAACTTCTTCAGAAAAAAGCAAGAAACCAAACTAATGACTGGAGAGATGGCAGTGGTTGTGTCTTCAATGCCTGGGCTGGCGAATCCAGACCCTCGTGGGTGGCTGTGAGTCCCATGACACCCAGTCAATGTCGACCTGTGTGCAAATCAGACACTTCAAGGCTCACCCCCCAAAGCTAGGTCAGCTTCTGGTGAACACCCATCCTTTAAAGCCAATTTGAAGATGAAAAATGCAAATTTTTTTAAAAAAATTTTAATGAATCATTGTGAGGTACGGTTACAGACTTACAAACTTTCATGTTTACGTTTCAGTCAAGATGCAAATTTTAAGGTTTCATGTATACCCAAAATTAAGATACAAATAAAACCAAAGTTAACTGAGATGCTAAGTTTATCTATTTATTTATTTTACTTTTTTATTAAATCACTGTGATAGACCCTTACAAAGCTGTTCATTATGGATTTCAGTCATACAGTGTTCCAACACCCATCCTTCCACCAGTGCACATTTCCCAGCACCAGTGTCCCAAGGTTCCCTCTGATCACCCCCAACCCCTGCCTGCCTCTGTGGCAAGTGCTTTTCTTCCCTCTCTTTCTTCCTCACTTTAGGCATTGTAGTTTGCAATATTGATGTTAAAAAGTTATCAAGACTATCCCTTTACCTACTTTTAACCCTCAGATCTTGTCCAGCATGATCATTCCGAGCTATTATTGTCATACTGATGATCTCTTCTCTATCTTACCTACCCTCAGCCCCCCACACAATTTTAGTTAGGAGATGCTAAGTTTAAAGGCACCCACACACAATCCAAAGTAAAAACAGTCTCCAAATCATTTCATTTCTCTTGTTTCTTTGTTATTGCTGCTCTTACCATTCTTTTTTTGGGGGGGAGGGGGAGTGAGAGGGAGCGCTTTTGGGGTCACACTCAGCAATGCTCAGGGATAACTCCTGGCGCTGCAATCAGAAATTACTCCTCACAGCACTCGGGGGACAATATGGGATGCCAGAGATCGAACCCAGGAAGCCTCATCCAAGACAAATGCCATACCCCCTATACTATCACTCCAGCCCTCTTATTTTCTTTAAAACAGGACTACATCCAGCAGCACTTGGCAGCCCACAGGGTACCACGTTGAAACCCAGACTCCCCTCCCCACCCATGCCTTGAGTTACCTCCCTGGCGTTCCATCTGATTTCTAGATATTACTTCTCCTGGATGTTCCTAAAAGTGAAAATCTATCAATAATTCTTCTGAAGATTTTTGGGCACTCATTCTACAATGACCAATATCAACCCATCAACTTAGGTACACTACTTTGGTGTCAAAGAACTTAACTGAGAAACTACCTATTTTAATGCTCTTTTTTGCCATTTGTTGTACCATGAGAAAGCCAGAGTAAGTGAGCCAGAGGGAAGGCCTCCACTGGCTACTCACACTGGCTCACCGGCAGAGCCCACACTCTGTCTCTGTCCCCTTGAGGGATGGTGAAAATACGGCAAGTGGGGAAGTGGGCTCTTTAAAGTAAGGTGTGATCCTTTAGAGAACTGTGTGCATGCGTGCGTGCGTGCGTGCGTGCGTGCGTGTGTGTGTGTGTGTGTGTGTAGAACAATGACCTTTATACTTCCTATCTTTGACACACACAACACACACACACACACACACACAAATCCTTAAAAGTAACTTCAGTGTCTGTATTTTCTAGCATTATCAATCAAAGACTTGGTTTTATTTGAAAAAAAATTTTTGGGGGGGGGGGCAGAGCTATAATATAGTGCATAGGGCATTTGCCTTGCATGTGTCTAGTCTGGGTTCCATCCCCGGTATTCCATATGGTTCCCAGAGCATGCCCCCCAGGAGTGATTCCTGAGTGCAGAGCCAGAAGTAACCCCTAAGCATGTGAACCAGGAGTAACCCCTGAGCATGCAGGTCTGGCTCCAAAATAAAAAAAAATGAGGGAGGGTCTCCCCAGTAATGCAATGCTAAGGGGTTTAGGACCATGCTCAGTGCTTCTCAGCCCAATGCTTGATCCAGTGGTGCTGGAGGAGGCCACCTAGGCCACACCTTAGGGGCATCAAGATGAACTCCTCTCAGCCATCAAATCGGGCCTTTAAGAGCTGTACTGACCCATAACTCCACAGTACACTACTCAGCTAGCTGCAGTTACACTGGGGGGTCAAAGCCAGTTCAGAGATTCAGGTGTCTACCTTGCACATACCCAACCCTGGCTCGATCCCTGGCACCACACACAGTCCCTCAAACACACATTGGGGCCATTCCTGAGCACAGAGCCAGGAGAAAGCCCCAAGTACTGTCGGGAGTGGCCCAAACACCAAGACCAGAACCAGAGTGCACGTTCAATTCCTGGCACCAGGCAGTCCCCTGGGCACTGCCAGAAAGTGGCACCTCCCCCAAAGATGAGAGATGGACTATGATTAAGTCTCGATGTCTGCAACTCAGTTACCAGCGAGCGAATGTTGGGAACAGTGCTTCAATCCAGCCTTCTTGGGGCCCAATGGAATCCACCAGGGGCAATCCTGAGAACATGGTTCTATAGAAATGCTCGCTGTCTGTGGTCAGGCCAAGCAGCCTCAGCAGTGCCTGTGGCCCTAGAGACACTGAGGGTGGCAATGGGAGAGAATCTACCATGGGAGAGAATCTACAATTTTCTTTCAATTTTGGTTATATGCCAATCGCTTCAGAGGGGGAGGCAGCGGCGGATAACCTGGACAGCGCCATTCTAGACCCAAGGCTGCTGAGTTTCACGGGGCAAGGAGAATTGGGCCCTGTAAGAAAGGGCATTCCTGGGGGCTGGAGCAGTAGCACAGCGGGTCAGGCGTTTGCCTTGCACAAGGCCGACCTGGGTTCGATTCCCAGTATCCCACATGGTCCCCTGAGCACCGCCAGGAGTAATTCCTGAGTGCAGAGGCAGGACTAACCCCTGAGCATTGCCGGGTGTGACCCAAAAAGCAAAAAGAAAAACCAAAAAATGAAAAAAAAAGGAAAGGGCACTCTTGGGGACATTGGTGCTGGGAAATGTACACTGGTGGAGGGATGCGTGATGGAATATCGTGTGACTGAAACCTAATCATGAACAGCTTCGTAAGGGTCTACCTCACAGCGATTCCATAACAAAAACAAAAAAAATTAAAAAAATAAAAGAAGAAGAAGAAAGGGAACTCACCATCCCCGTCTTCGCCGTAGGCCAGGAACGGAGGGATAGTGATGAGGCGCTTCTCTCCCACACACATGCCCAGCAGCCCTTTATCCATGCCGGGGATCAGCCAGCCGATTCCCACGTAGGTGTCATATGTTTTCATGCGATTGTGGCTGCAAACCAGTGAGAAAGGGGACAGGCCTAGAGTCGACATGTGTTTGGTTCATCCCTCAGTAGAGCTCTGTTAGCCAATCCTCAGCTAAGCAACGAGCAGTACCCTCCATGGGGACAGGTCGCTCTGCATCTTCACCCCCAAACATGAAGCACAAGCCTCAGGTTGCTGAAAGGCCGCCTCCCAATGCCAGGGAGACACAGGACAGGCTGCTGAGGGGAGAAGAAAGTCCAAGAACTCACACGCCCCTGCCTGCACCTCACCTGACTCTACCCTGCACCTATATTCACTTCCCATCCTTCTTTCACGGGACCACTGCAGAAATGAATCCCAAATGCAGGAGCCTGGGGCCAGGACGGCAGAACTGGCTCAGATGTACACATCCTGCAACCCAGACCCCCAGTTCGGTCCCCGGCTACCACATGGCCTCCCCTGGCACCGCCGAGGTGGCCCTCATGGTCCCAGATATGACAAGGCCCAAGCAGCACCCTATTCTCAGGCCTTGGCAAAATACCACCAGGACTGACCCCAGAACACTGCTTGCGAGACCCCCTCACAGACACAGAAAAATGCACAAGCGGGGCTGGAGCGACAAGCACAGCAGGTAGGGCATTTGCCTTGCATGCGGCCGACCCAGGTTCGATTCCCAGCATCCCATATGGTCCCCTGAGCACCGCCAGGAGTGATTCCAGAGTGCAGAGCCAGGAGTAACCCCTGTGCATCGCCAAGTGTGACCCAAAAAGCTAAAATAAATAAATAAATAAAATCATAAACTTATTTGAAAATAGGGTCCTTTACTTAGTAATGAGGTCTTGAATACTATTCATGGACATAATGCTGCTCTTAGATTTCTTTCTTTCTTTCTTTCTTTCTTTCTTCCTTTCTTTCTTTCTATTTTTTTGCTTCTGAAAGCCACACCCAGCAATGCACAAGGCTGACTCCTGGCTCTGCACTCAGGAATTACTCCTTGGCAGTGCTCAGGGGACCATATGGGATGCCGGGATCAAACCTAAGTCTGCCAAGTATAACGTAAGTACCCTACCTGCTGTACTATCTCTCCAGCCTCACTTAGGTTGTTTCCTAAGAGGCAGTGATTATTCGACTCTGATACTCTGATGCATGAAACACGAACCAAAAGCCAGACGTGAGGGTAGAAGAGCCCTTTCCTGGTTGCCCCACAGGCATGAGAGGCAGGTGAGCCAGAGGTCACTGGATGCCCCACGGCCACCACTCTGAACTCCTACCTTGAGTCAAACAGAGTTCCATCCAAGAAGGTGCCATTGTAGTGGTACCGGACAAAATCCGACACCTGGATGCTCCGAGGGCAGCTGGGAGGCTTGAAGTACGTGTGAACCTGGACTTGGTCTTCAGCGTTCCAAATATCCATCAGAAGGACGTCAAAATGCAGCACTGAATTCGGGGGGATCACGCCAGCTAGAGAGGAAAGAGAAGTCCCAGCCGGAAGCCACTGCCATCCCCGCCACACACGTCAGCCCCGAGGACTCAAAGGGGACCACTGACTTGTAATTCCAAAATGTGAGTCCAAAACTTAAAGAAATCAATTTCCCTCTACACAGCGTTCAATATTTAATACACCTGTGCTCACCGCACCTTCTTTTTTATTGGGAAAAATAAACAAGATGAAATTTGATCGCTCTGTCTGTCTGTCTCTCTCTACCCCTGGCCCTCCCTGTCCAGTGCTTCTCATTTTCCCTAAGTTAAGGCTTCAGAAAATTCCCTGGCGCCTCACTGAACAGCCTGGCAAGGCTGCAGTGGTGTCTGCAAGTGGGTTAGCAGGCCGGGCGAGACACTTACAGACACCGTCACTTCCGTAGGCAAGCTTCGGTGGGATGGTCACAAACCGTCTCTCGTTCACACACATCCCCACCAGGGCTTGGTCCATCCCAGCGATCAGCTGGCCTTTTCCCACAAATACATTGAAAGTGGAGTCTCTGTCATAGCTGAAGATCAATAAAAGAGAAAAGGGGGGGGAGAAAAGGCATAAAAAATTCTTCCCTTAGTGAAATCAACCTGTGAAAATGCATTCTGGGGTATAGTGAGGTCGCTGCAAAGACAAAGGCCACCACAGAGCAGTTACAGATACAGGAATGTCTTTGCTGGGCACCCAGGTTTGGCACTACATGGCAGGCACCATAACCATGAGTAGTGCCAACAGTATCAGCTAAGCTGATCATCTCTCCCAGCTAAGCATCCGTATGACTCTGTAGAAGGAAGTATGTTCTCTTCTCAGAAGAGTCAACAATTCTTTCCCTAAAACATTTCATTCATTTCCAAATGTTGGTACCTAAAAGCAACATGAACGATACTAAGGCCCAAGTAAACCTTTTTTTCTTTTTTCTTTTAATGGGGCCTCTTGCATGTGGAACACGCACTCTGCCACTGACCCTACGTCCTTGGCCCATCACACGTAAAACTCGGAATTACTTAACTCAGAACTATGTGCATGAAACTTGTAACTAAAGTATTACTGAATCATGGTACCTCAAATAATTTTTCAAAATATCAAAAATGAAAGATAAGTTAAACAGTTTGGTATAGCATGGAAGGTAACCTCCCAACCTCAGTTTCTCCCACTGCAAAATTGGAGTCATCATAATTGCCATTCCAATACCTGTATGATAACATGTGAGCAGAACTCAGGAAATTCTGAGTAATGCGCTCTGCCAACATTCCTATCACCATGGCAGTAATGGAAGGAAAGCCTGGTGCAGACTGAAAATCATTAAGATATGAGTCGATGGCCTCAGGTCGATAACCTTCCGGTCACTCAGGAATTATGACTACGACCCGACCGTATTCTTGTCAATGTCAAGCGCAACAACTAACTCGCACGCAGGGTGTGATCTGTGGAAGACTGTGCTAGGTGCCCTGGAGGATATAAAAGAAGTTCAAGGTTGGGGCTGCCATGATAGGGGCTTGCCTTGGCTTGCCTTGCTCCTGGCCAACCCAGGTTCTCCTGTACCACAGAGTCCCCCAAGCCCCACCAGGAGTGACCCTGGGCACAGAGTCAAGAGTAAGCCTGAGCACCGCAAGGTGTGGCCCAACGTGCACCCACTCCCAAAAAAGTCCAAGGTATGGACTTTGTCTGCAAATACCTTTTAGACTGGCAGGGATGCGCCCATGACTGTCAGGGCTTTCGTTTTTATAAAAACGAAACACAGAAAGAGTTGAGACGTTCAACGGCCCTGAGTGCTGTCCAATAAAGGTGTACCATAAACTGCTTGTTGGCTCATGAGAAATACCAGCTTCCAGTGCTGAGGGAGAAGGCAGTTGGGATAGAGAAGGGGGCACCACGACAAAGATAGTTGAAAATGATCATTCTGAATAAGAACTGTGAGGAAAGGTAAAGGAACAAACATGATAATCTCAGTACATGTACTGCAAACCATAATGCCCAAGAGGGTTCGGGAAGAGGAGCTTGCCGGGCTCTCTGAGAGGGACGAAGGAATCGAACCTGGGTTGGCCACATGTAAGGCAAACGCCCTACCCACTGTGCTATCACTCCAGTCCCAAGAAAATATCACCGATGTTAGTCAATGGGCAGGGGATTTCTGGTCAGTTGTTTTTTTCTTTTATTCTGACTTTTCAAGCTGAAGATGTCCTTCTTCTGGAATCAAACATCAGGGTTTCCTTGCTTGTCCTGCCACCCTGCACCCAGCACCTCACTTCCACGTGGTCCCCAATTCCCTCCAACCGGCTCGGCAGGCAGCTCTGTCCCCCACCCTTCTCCTCCTTTCTGGCCCGAGGTTTAGAGTTCTGCTCTATAACACCCCACTTTATTGTCTTGTTTTATTTTTTGTTTTGGGGTCACACCAGTGGAGCTGCAGGGTCACTCCTGGCTCTGTGTTCAGGGGTTACTGCTGGCAGGGCTCTGGGAATGGTCTGAAGTGCTGGAAATCGAACCCGGGGCCCCACCCGCTACCCTGTGGATCCTGGCCCCTGCAAGCCACTTTACAAGTCCTCCTTTCTCTCAAGGTCAGCGAATGGAAAAGGATTCCGAACTGAGGCCAAGAGCAGAGAGTAGAGACACATGGTCAGTTTTGCGTCCAGGACAGCCTCACACCTCCACCCTCACCATCCGGGCCAGTCCCCACACCCTGGAATACCAGCTCGAGTTTCACTGACCCAGTAGCAGGCCAAGACTCGGCTTCTGAGAGCACCAGTGAGTGCAGGTTCTTTCCATACAGAACTTGACTTCAGTTCACAACTTTAACAGTTTTTGTTCGTGTGCTTTTGATTTGGGGGGACCATACCCAGCAGTGCTCAGGACTTACTCCCAGCTCACCACTCAGGGGTCACTCCTGGCAGTACTCAGGAGACTATATGGAGGGCTGGAGGTGGAACCCGTGTCAGCCACATGTAAGACCAATGCCCCACCCACTGTAATGTCACTCTGATCCCTAACAAGTTCTTAGAAAATAATAAACTGCTACCTAGAGAGTGTTTATTCTATCCAGCATGGTAGAAATTGGAGCTTTTCCAACTATCAGCATATACCAATTCTCATATTACACTTTGAGGTAGAATGTTATGTGGATGCTCCTTGCAGGTGAACATTTCCCCAAAACACCCCAAGGTTTGCAGAGTGGGAAAAATCATCTAGACCTGTCCACACCAAGAGTTCTGAATCTGGGGTCGGAGTGAAAGCACAACAGGTAGGGTGTTTGTCTTGCATGCGGTGGATACGGGTTCAATCCCCAGTATCCCATACGGTCCTCCGAGTACCACTAGGAGGAATTCCTGAGTGCAGAGCCAGGAGTGGCTCCTGAGCACTGCCCAGGGTGACCCAAAAAGCACTGTCACTGTCACAGTCCTCCCGTTGTTCATCAATTTGCTCGAGCGGGCCCAGTAAAGTCTCCATTTTGAGACTTGTTAATGTGTTTGGCATATTGAATACATCACGGGTAGCTTGCCAGGCTTTGCCGTATGTGCCAAATACTCTCGGTAGCTTGCTGGGCTCTCCGAGATAGGTGGAGGAATCGAACCCGGCTCGGCCAGGCTGGCTGTGCGCAAGGCAAACACCCTACCGCTGTGCTATCGCTCCAAAGGAAAAAAAAAAAAAAGAAAAAAGAAAAAAAGAAAACTGAGTCTGACCCTCCACACTCAGGGCCCACTCTCTACGCCTCCACTCGACCACTCTCGAAGTACAGGGCTGAAAACCACCATTTTTAAAAGAAAATATGTCTTTTTTCTTATAACCCACAAGAGCCAAGCCTTATCGACTTTAAACTTGAACCATCTGGAAAAGTAAAATCTTTCTCAGCAAACCTGTGCTCATCGGCCCAGCTGGCACACGCTGTATGCCACGTCCAGCCCAGACCTGGACTGTAAGTCCAGGTCAGTAAGCACTTCCACAGCCCATGCTGGTATCTGGTTCATCCGCAGCTTCTGTAGATGTTCCAGGCCCAGCAGGGGAAACAAGGGCACAGCCAGCAAGGCAGCTCCAGGAGAGCTGGGCAGAGGCCTGTGTGTAAAGGTGTGGCGCAGGGGCGGAGGGACACGAGGGACAGGGGCTGGGGGGGAGGGGGAGGGCTGTGTCTCACCAGCCAGAAGGACCTGAAAGCCAGGGGCAGCTCAGGGCACCTGACAGAAGCTTGCATAGAGGAAATCTGGCCAACACCCCCTTGTCAGAAAATAAATCATCTAGGGGCTGGAGCGATAGCACAGCAGGTATGGTATTTGCCTTGCATGTGGCCAACCCAAGTTCAATTCCCAGCATCCCATATGGTCCCCCAAGCACTGCAACGAGTAATTCCTGAGTGCAAAGCCAGGAGTAACCCCTGTGCATCGCCGGGTATGACCCCAAAAGTAAAAAAAAAGAAAAGAAAAAAAAAAGAAAAGAAATTATTCCATGTCCCCCAAGTTCAACCACCCCCAGCATTGTTCCAGCTCGTCCGCCCCAGCCAGGGAGCGGCGTCACCCACCCTGGGGAACGCTGGGCCAGACAGTGGGGCCACAGTCTGCGGGAAGCCACAGACAGAGGGTGAGAGCCAGGGGGCCAATGTCCCCTCACTCTCCTCCCCCTTCTAACCTGCGGATGGCTGATGCGACAGTAAGATGCTCCCTGAGCCGTGTCAGACCCTTGCACAAAGCAAAAGGCACAGGGCGGGGGGATCTGGAGCAGCAAATGGAAACCACGCAGCCAACTCAGCACCGCCTCCCCTCCACTGCCTACTCCTCTCGCCTCCACATCCCTCACTTGGCTCCAGCCATGACTGCCTCTGGCATAACCAACTGCCCTTGCCTCCAGGGATGGTCTTCAAGATGACCATCTCGGGACGGAGGGAGCTTGCCTTGCACATGGCTGACCCAGATTCAGCAGCACATATGGCCTTCTGAGTCCCACCAGGAGTGAGTCCTGAGCACTGCACGGGGAAGGGGGCGTGGGGACTGTGACTCAAGGGATGAGCCACTTAAGTACAACAGAAGCAATAAGAATAACAGGTGAGTGACTGAGTGACGTGGGGTTCGTGTTCAGCCCACCCCATCTGGGTCACTGAGCTGCCCACACACAAGCACAACCCCACTCAGGCTCAAGGACCACCTGCAGGGACATGTTCTCGAAACTGCACAAGCACTGCAGCTCTATTTCACTGTGAAGTGAAGACAGACTTTTCAGGACTCTGACAAATGGCCGTTGCTCCCTCCAAGACCCCAACGCCCATTCCTGCCCCCAAGCACCTATATGCACTCAGGAAACTCAAGCACAGACCAATGCTTTCAACTGATGAGAACGTTCTAGAAGACAGAGGGAATGAAGGAGGAGGAACTCACCCAGAAGGCAAGAGACAGGACATAGGTGTCGATAAATGGGGACCCAGCTAGGAGGCCTCGGGGGCAGGAGGCCTGGAGTTCAGAAGGGCGCTGGTTACAAGCCTTAGTTCAGGGCCAGATAGTACAGTGGGTAGGGCCCGTGTCTTGCTCACAACCAACCTGGGTT